TTCAGTAAAAGCTTTCAAATTAAAGTACTATTTAAAACATAGTGAAAAGCAAACTGCCTCAGTTGTTTAATCAGAGTTTCTCAAAATTTCAGTCTGTTATTTTGTCATATTTACTCCAGGATGATCCAGAGGGGATCCTCATATCCTACACTATGATGATATTTTTTTCTCATCTTACCAAACTTCTATAATAACTTCCATCAATCCACCCCTAATGTACTTTAAAAAAAAATCTTGAATGTGTAGAACTGTGCATTAGCAACTGGTTTCAACTCATAACCAGCTTTGGAAGTCCAATTTTAGTGGAATAATTAAGAAAGTTTTGTTTCAAGTCTCCTTTTCAGTTCCTAAACAGTACTCACTTGTGCCAGTTTGTACTGAAAACACCTACTGTATATCTGTCTGTCCCATTTGGCTGGATGTCGGACTCTCTTCCTGTTTCTTATCACATTTATCTTAAATAAATCGTGAGCTCACATTATTCTCAGTTAACCTACTCAGCCACAGCTGAGTTGCTTGATTAGCAGTTGAACAGTACATATTGGGTGACTGTCCAGTAACAGTCACCTCAATCAAGCAATTGCTGTGCTACAAAACACTTTAAAAGGCCTTTATATGGCTCTGATATTGTTACAGTAAAGTAGCTGATACAAACCTCATGAGCATCATTTCACACAGTTGTGTTGTGAGGAACTCTAGAGGACACTCTGGCAACACTACATAAAGAGAGACTGTTTATTTCACACAGACTTTCAATTGCTATTATGCTTATCTCGGTATGTTAAAACTGACTATAGTAACTGTACTACTGCTTAATGTGTGTACTTTTTTCTGTGACTGCAGCAATGAGCTGGTACTCGCACGGTGGGAGATATTCAGTTTCCACAAAAAACCCAGTTGTCTGTGTGACCACCTTTCTTCATGGGGATGTGTAGTTAGGCTGTGGGTGTGCTAACGCTAATTGCCAAAAAACATAGTAACTGTATTAATTCACAGACTTTTTACTAAGCATTTGTTGTGGTCGAGGACTACTTAGATCCTTTACATGTGTAGAAGTACTAATGCCACACTGAAATAGCCTGCACTGAAAGTGGTACTTAAAGTAAAAAACATATTTAAGTGTAATCACGAAACTTATTTAAAGTAAAATAACTTTGTACAGAAACTTTCCTTCTGTACACTGCAATACAGTACATTGTCTGATTATGTTATTACTACCTATGCATTAATTTAAAGGCAGGATTTTACTGCTGCAGTAACCATCTGACCTTCAAAAGTTTGAAAACGAGAAGCTTTACGAACCGGACTTGATGAGCAAAATTAGCAGCCCTATGTATTTGCTCTCTGTCAGTGCTTTTATTGTCATTGTGTAGAAGATGTTTCAGAACTTTGACTAAATCCGACATTGGTAGATCGCCAGAATGCTTTTGCAGACTAGTGAATTTAAATCCATTTGACATGAATCCAGATCATAAAACTGGAAAAGCATATGCGGATTACAGCTCATGTGTGAGAAAGACAATGATGTCACATGTCTGCGTGTTCAGAAATGTGAAATGGTTAATGCAGCTGTTAAGCCTGAAAAAGACAATAAATAATCTACATTGTTATCATCATATACAATTACAGAAAACTCCACGACACTGATATCAAATTAGGAGAATTAGGAGCTTTACTGAAGCTCATCCTGCTAAACTAGGCCAGTCGTAATTGAGCTTCAGTCTCTGTGCTGCCTTTGCTCTCAGTCATATGTTGCTACCATGATGTCACCCTGGATTATAATGTCAAGCATGTATTTCCAAATTGGGATGATCAGCAGACAGATCACTTGCTCTCCCACACACAGGGTGACACAGATAACGCAGGAGATACTGTTTGCAATGACAGCATTTTAGTATCACGTTGGTAATTGCTAGTAATAATAATGACAATATTATTAGGTAATAGTTTGTTGAGGCAGTCACAGTCACTATTGTAGCACTATTTATTTATTTATTTTTTTGACTCTGTACTTGTGTTTTTGCAGTTGTTTGCAGTGTGTTGTCAGAGATTTTGTCCCCTATTCTCATATGGTGGTAGTTGGGTCTGAGGGGTGCAAATGCTGCCATCATTGAATTGAATTTCCCTTCTGGGATAAATAAAGTATTTTTTTTTCATTTAATTTTAGAATAGAATAGAATAGAATAGAATAGAATGCCTTTATTGTCACTATACACATGTACAATGAGATTAAGAGCAGCTCCTTTAGTGCAATATAGAATAAGAACAAAATAAAGAGCAAAAAATAAAAAAATAGAGAGATTTAAATATAAAATAAGATAGGTTATATATACAGTATAAGTTATATGTACAGTATGAAATTAGAAAAATATTGCACAGCATGGTCAGAGGTGATATTGCACATTTAAATAGAGTTTACAGTAGTTTACAATGTAATGCAAATAATAGCACCAGAGTTGATGGAGAACAGTTAAACAAAAAATGTTTTTGTTTTTTTTAGTTGATTGCTGTCGATAGCAGGCATGTGTTTTGTAACTACCTCTTTTAAATCAAACAATGTATTTATCAAAATTTTAGAAATTGCAACGAATAATGCAGGTTCTGTGGGAGGTTTCTTCTTGTTAAGGTGGATTTTTTTTTTTGCTTTCAACTGTTGCCAAAGAGCTTACTCAAAGGGAATCATTTGGATTTGTTGGGCTTCTCTCTATAATTTAGTATAGTTAGATTTGTCCCTGTACAAATAAAACTGAATTGAGTTGACTTAAAAAAGCATTTCTATCATCACCTTGAGGTAATTATGATCTTAAATTCTATTATTAAAGCAAAGAAACAAAAAATCTTCAGCCACCAATATATATTATGCATCCCTAAGATTAGTAAAGGCAGCTTCACACCCTGCTGTGCAAAAGTCCAACTGGTCCTACGTGAAGTATGCTAAATGTTTGTAAGACACCTTGCCAACCATCTTACTCTGATCAGTATGTTTTTAAAGTTATTTTAATAAAATATCTCAAAGACTCGTTTGTTTCTTTTCTCACTAGGCCAATCTCTTTATTGTGCATTGTCTCTCTTTATCTCGTTTTGATGCCGTCTCATCTGTACTTTCAAGTAGGACGTAAATGGGTAAACGCTGGATTGATGAGGAAGATGAGGGGAGAAACAGGAGAGATAAGTTCCTGTAAAACATGAGATTTACATGATTTTTGAACAAGCATAGTTGAGTGCAAAGGAACTTTATCTTCCAATACAGTCATGTGATTTCATCATTGTGTTGTAAAACCCTCCTCCAATGTCCCTAATCTTTCATTGTATGTAAATTGTGTAAATTAAACATATCACAACAAAAGGGACATGACCCGACTTCCAGAGAAAAAGCATTGTGACTCTTGTGGAATGGTGGTAGACTGCATGAACGTGCATGTGTCCTGTTTTGGGAATTGGAGCAGACTGCTGTGTCTGAGTCAGCCCCTTCTGTTGATTTTGGGGAATTCTGTGTTCTGGTAACTTAACAGAGCTGATATGACTCATCTAAAGTCCCTATGGTGTCGCACTGCTTCCCAGAAAGAAGGATGGTGATGTGGATGATGTTAGTTCATGTGAATATGTAATAAACGGTTACAGCCGCGAAATCAGTCGAGCCAACTTTTAGATTTAACCTCTTAAATCTAAAAGCAGTCAGAGTGAATAGTGAGTTGCTCATCAGTTACGATTCGAGACAAGCACATCATCAGGTGTGGGTTGGAGCTGGGGAGGCAGAGAAAGAAAATGCTGACCAGGCAGTCTGTGGTGACCACATTTTGGAAGTCTGTTAACAATATGATGACCTCTCCACTCTTTTCCCTCCATTCCTACCATTTGTCCATCTGTTTTGGAGCTCTGCCAGCAAGCAAGGCCAAATCTGACTGAAACAACACAGACTGTTCTTAATGGAAATATCTTACGGCCATAGAACTGGAAAGCTTGCCAGTTCTTTTAATAATGTGATGGGGAATACAATAGGCTTATACGAGCCTCGGCACTTTGGCACTAAAAGTGCAGTCACATTAAACTTCATTTCCAATACACTCAAGGGATGAAAAAAGTCACTGGCAATGTCACTGCGACCCCTTGGCTAAAAAAGCATGAAGGACTCATTGTCTGGCCATTTGTGGTATAATTGTACTGAAGCAGATTCACCATAGATCTACACCCACGAATAGACTGCCTGGTTTCAGTGTTTCACATTGGATCAAGTTAAGTTAAATTGAGTGTGGCCTCGTGAATTAGATCATTCAATTCTGTCATCCTTGTATTGTTTTGTTTTTACATTTGCTTCAGTGAGTAAATGAGATTGGTTGCAAAAAGTGGTGCAATTAAAAATATGCCTGTTCAGTGAACACAACAAAAAAACTAAGACATGACCCACTGACGTGTATTTGTTCAGCTCTGGATGAACGTTTTTGCACAGTGTTAACATCAGGCATTATTAAATTTGGCCAAAAATGTGGCTATCCTGATTGGTTAGGGTCATTTTCTGTCGGTTGCAGTGAAATCCCTCTTGGGTAATTTTACCAAAAATTTGCACAAATCAGCTTTTGAATATTAATTTTGTCCATTTTTAGATAATCGTTAAAAAAAATTACAGGGCCTTGCATGCTTAACAATGTCTGCCAACAAAAAGGGTTCCAAGAAAAGGGGACCATTTGCTATTAGCTGGGGCTAATGTCATAATGTGGGCACTGATGATAGGCTGTTACAGCGAGGTAATTGACTGACTGGTTAAATTTGAGCGGCAGCCATATTCTTGCAGTGTTCACTAGAAAATGTTGGCATAATAAAGCAAATGTAAAAATAAGAAGAATCGCCATTCCTTATACCAGCTCCATCAGCGTTGAACTTTCTGATATAGAAAAAATACTATAGTGTGTTACTAATGTGTTATTACCTTACCTTGTTATTGATGTGGCGGAAATGTTTTTGTCTGTAAGTGCTCCTTCTGATTTGTATCTATTGCTTTCTAAATGCTAGGTCGAAATGAGCTGATAGCTCGCTATATCAAGCTGCGAACGGGGAAGACACGCACACGCAAACAGGTATGTAGAGATGTTACTGAAGACGACAGCATTGACATCTGTTTGATGTAGCAGCATTTACTAGATGCAGCTCATGTATTTTCTGATTTTTTCTTTGCTGTAATTCACCCATGCACCTTATTAAAGTGATTATTGTTGGACCTTGTCTGTTTGAAATTGTAAAACCATTATGTGTCTGTTTTCATCGGGGTAACCCTGGCCCTATAGGTGTCTAGTCACATTCAGGTTTTGGCACGTAAGAGGGTACGAGAATACCAGGCAAGCATCAAGGTGGGTTCCCATTGAATCAACTCACCCTTTCCTCTGTAGTCACATCCCTTTTCTTTTCTTTTCTTTTCTTTTCTTTTCTTTTCTTTTCTTTTCTTTTCTTTTCTTTTCCTTGTTCCTCCCATCCTTTTTCCTCCATCCTGTTTTTCTTCAGGTCTCTAGTCACCTGCAAGTCTTGGCCAAGAGAAAGTCTCGTGAGATTCAGACTAAGCTCAAGGTACACGCTCACTGACTTTGCAATGCTAGCTGCTTCGCTCTGCATGTGGCACATTACTAACTTCCCCCATTATATCACTGAGAACGTCTTGGTCAGGAGTTGCAGCTGATGTGTACCTCTGTGGCAGGGTTGCTACGTTTTGATTTCTGCAGTAGTTGGGAATCATCCTAAAAGTGCAACTACGTAGCAGAGACTACATGAACTATAAGCAGTCGGCTCCAGCTAGTTTATGTTTTTGTCCTATGTTTTCACATTCAGCACTATGTGGAACGAGTTAAAAAGGGATCTGTCATTTTTTCCATCAATAATAGACAAAATTACATGATGATGCATGACAAATCCATTTAGTGTTGTGGTGATGCCATGCTATCTGAGCTTTTGGCATCTGAGTCAAGACCACAGGAAACTCCTGATGGAACAGTTTAAATCCAATTTAGAAGCAGTTAGTTGCATGATTGTTGTACAGTCATTAGAGCACAGAAATAGTGTTTTTTATTGGCAGTAGGAATGTGGTGTGACAGGCTTGGGCTTTGCAAGCTAATGTTTTCAAGCATCTTATTTGTTTGCTTGTTTGCTTTATAGGTCTCATACATTTATGCATATTTGGTAGCATTGCTCAGTATGAAAGCCAGCGGCTTTGAATGTATATCATAATTTGTGGGGAAGCGGCTTTTGTTACGATGCATGGCAGTTTCATTCGTCTTTGTTCAGCGGGTTTGTTGCCTTCCATAGATAACTGCATGAGAGTCTGTACCTTGCTTGGTTAACCCGCAGGTATGGCTATTGTAATGAACATGAATGCTTGCATACACACAAACATGCAACAGGTTTTAATGTGCCCCTCATCGATGTGTACACTTGAGGAATTTCAGTTTTCTCTTTTAATTTCTGATCTCCACATTCCTACTCTTGAACATTTCCCTCAGTTCTTTGTCTTTTCTGTTTAGTCACTTTTCTTGTGTTTGACTGTGCCCTGTAATAAAGTCTGTTTGTGAAAACATTTTGCAACAAAGACATTCAATTTGCTGCTTTCTGATACATGGTTTCTGATTGAACTTGGGGAGTGTAACTTTTCAAGATTTCCAGGTCAGCATATTTCCTGGTGCAAACATAAGCTGCTCTAAGATGGCACAGATTAGTAAAGAATATCTAGCCCTGTCAAAGTAACGTTCATGTTTCTGAGCTTAGCACCATGCATCTGTTTGACAAGGTAGATTTAGGGTGTAGTCTTTTTAAAGAGTTACAGTTGCTTTAGAAAGTATTTGGGCCTGTTTAGTTTGTGCACATTTTATAATGAAGAAAAAGTCAATTTGAATGAATACATTTGCCAGTTATTCCCATCGATCTACACTTAATAACAGTAACAGCAAATCATGTTTTTAGAAATCTTTGCAAATTTATTAACGATCAACAACTCAAATCTCTCATTTACAGAAGTATTCAGCCCCTAATTCAGTACTCTGTTGAAACCCTTAAGGCAGCAGTTACAGCTTTTTGTTTTCAGGGGTAAGTCTCAACAGGCTTTGCACACTAGGATTTGGGCAGTTTATCCCCTTCTTCCTGACAGATCCTCTGAAGCTCCCTCAGATTGGATGGGGAGCATCTGCGATCTGCCATCCACAGATGTTCTGTAGGGTTGAAGTCTGGGCTTTGGCTGGGCGAGTCAAGGACAGTCAGACTTTTCCTTAAGGAACCCCGGTGTTGTCCTGACCTTATGTTTTTGATTATTCTCGTGCTGAAACGTCAGCTGTAGTCCCAGTCTCAGATCACTTGGATCTTCGGGGACCTTACTGTATTTGGCTTCATCCTTCAATTCCGATCAGTCTCTCTCTGTCCCTGCTGCACTCAGGACAGTGCTTCACTGTAGGGATGGTATTAGCCAGGCAATGAGCAGTGTTTGGTCTTCATCAGACGTGGTGTTTGGAGTTCTCCCTAAAGAGTTTCAGACAATCATTGACCTCATGCTCGCCTTTCAAGTCCTTTAAATGACGAGAAGGCTGTCGTATGTCTTTTACACAGAGTGACTTCCATCTAGCTTTTCTACCATAAAAACCTGATACGCTGAAGTGTTGTTGAGATGCGTGTCCTTCTGGCAGTTTCTTCTCTCTGTACAATACCTCTTAGGTTCTTGGTCACCTCGCTGAAACCAAGACCTTCTTGCTTGGCTGCTTAGATTGGCTTGAAAGCCAACCATAGATAAAGTCATGCTGGTTTCAAACTTCTTCATTTTACACTTAGTAAAGCCTGTTTGGAATACTCAAAGCTTCAGAAATGAAATAGCCTTGTCCTGCTCTATGCCTTACCAGTTTTATCATGGCGGTTTACAGAAAGTCTTACTGACTAAGCTGAGTCCAATCACTTCCACCGATAAACTTCACTCCGGTTAAAGACATCTCTGGAAGGACTGTTAAAGCTAAAAGGATGCACCTAATCACAACTTGGAAGTGCCACAGCAAAGAGTCTGCATACTTTTGTAAATGAGATATTTCGGGGTTTTTTGTTTGTTTGTTTTTTTTAAATGAAGTTGCAAAAAAACAACAACAACAATATTTTTACTTACGTGCAAAAAGTGAAGGGCTTCGAACGAGGGCGTTTTCCTAACAGTGATTCTGTAACCTGCTTTTATTTTGAATGTGCTCAAGTTAATTAATAACGTGTCTTTTTTGCCATAGGCCATGAACTTGGTAAGTTGGTTACACAACTACAGTTTTCTGCTTAAGGCTTTGTGCTGTGTGGTTGGCATCACATTGCTGCTAGTCCACAACACAGTTTTACTGCCAGACTCAAAAAAAAAATCCTGCTCATTGCTCTTTTGTTTTTAGTGGCTTTAGTTAAATACTGGTGATGGTTAGCTTTTCTAGTTTTGTGCGCCTCGTGCTTTGGCTTCCCTTTATGTCTGCTTTGCTTTCTGTCCTGTCTTCCCATATAGTTACTGCATCATGCTGAAGTACAGTACATGTTGGCTGGCTTGCTGTCTAAACTGGCCTTTTGAAGTTGGCTGACTTTGGAATGACAACCTAATTTTCACTGGAAATTTTTAGATAAGGAATTGTCATTGTGTATTACTTTGTGTTTGTCTTTCTTATTCAGGACCAGGTATCCAAAGACAAGGCACTGCAGACAGTAGCCAACCTCTCATCAGCTCAGATAGTGTCTGCGAGTGTAATGAAACCCCAGACTCCCTTCCCTCCACCAGTCAGAGTGAGACGAAAACACTGACACACACACACACACACACATCTGTTCTTTTCTACCTTCTGGGTAAAAGTCTGAGTAATACTATCTGTCCTGTTTTCCCCCTTTCGTCTTGTTTAGTTTTGGCCTGGCCCTATGCCAGGACAGCCTGGACATTCTCAGGAGTAAGTATCACTGGCAGATTAGTTGGTTTTCTTTCTTTAAAGCTAAAAAGTTTCTTGTTCAAGCTGGTGCAGTTGCTGATTTTTGGGTTCTCCTCGTCTTTTTTTTTTTGTATTTCTAGCATCAAGCCCTTTGCACAGCCACCATACACTACACTACCAGCCCCTGTCCCTGCACCTATCAGTAAGTGTGAACACAGAATAATTGATTTGCCCAATTAATATAAATAATGTCATTGTAATTTTGTGTTTTCCTGTTTTAAACGTTCGGCAGGTTACGAGGCCTTGCCACCACCTCGTCCTGCAGCTATAGCAGCTCCCGTATGGCAAGACAGAACCATTGCCTCTGCAAAATTACGGCTACTGGAGTACTCTGCTTTTATGGAGACCCAGAGAGACAGAGAGACGGTACAAACATCCAGACCCTTTGAATGAAGAGTCAGCCATGTAAAATATTGTCAAAAGCAAATCCCTCTCTTTCTACCTTCTCTTTCTTACTGTTTCTTCTTCCTTTGCTACAGTATAAACACCTTTTCGTTCACATTGGGCCATCAAACCCGGGCTACAATGACCCAGTATTGGAGTCCATAGATGTGAGGCAGATTTACGACAAGTTCTCTGAGAAGAAAGGCGGCCTGAAGGAGCTGTACGAAAAAGGGCCACACAATGCGTTCTTTCTTGTCAAGTTCTGGGTCAGTACACAAAACCAATGTTCCCCCCTGAAGTCAATTGGAGAAAAACATTCATTTTAGTTTTTTTCCATTATATTACATTCACTGCATTATTATTAATTGGTCATAGAATAGCAGGCTGGGGTAATAACCTGTTAACACCACATGGGGGAAGCAAAGCCAGTGTGACACTTGAAGACACACAGGAAAGGATGTTATTGGTAGTTGTTTCATAAACTGTATTAAATTAACCTCCCCGGTACCTTTACCACACAGAAAAGCAACAGGTGCAAGTTCTTAAGTCGTTATTTTCTCTTTTTTTTGTGTTGCTTAAACTATGTAATGGGTCTTTTCGATGTAGAGTGACAGCAAAATTATACAATTGCTCATGAAGAGCCACAGGGGTCACCCTGACCCATATACGTGCAGTAAAACACACACAAAAGAAGCGTATTTGAAATAAGTGGTAGCGTTCGGTGGTGGCTTCTTGATTTATTTTCCTCTTTTCTTCGCGTACTTTCCACACTCACTCTCTGTCCGTCTGATTGTGCTCGTTTCAGGCGGACCTGAGCAGTGACACTGAGGAGGGTTCTGGTGCGTTCTATGGTGTGAGCAGCCAGTACAGTGGCACAGAAAACATCACTATTAGCGTCTCGACAAAAGTTTGCTCCTTCGGCAAACAGGTGGTGGAGAAGGTTGAGGTGAGAGGATGAATCCTTTATTTTAATACTTGCATCGCATTTCCTGTCGACGTGTGTTTTAATTGTGACATGAGTGTGTGGATTCCTCCCATCCAGACCGAGTATGCACATTTGGAAGGAGGAAAGTACGTGTTCCGCATCCATCGTTCACCCATGTGTGAATATATGATCAACTTCATCCACAAACTCAAACACCTGCCAGAGAAATACATGATGAACAGTGTGCTGGAGAACTTCACCATTCTACAGGTACGTGTGCAGGTACTCATAGCGACGGATATGATTCGAATAAGCCTACAAATAAAACCATTATATGGACATCTTTAGTAGGCATCAAAGGTTTGTAGTTCAAGAGTTTAATATCCTCAGGGATTGTACTTCTTTTAAACCGCTCTGACTGAAAACAGAGCAGTTCATACATCATCTCGCACAGCATTTCCTGAAAGAGGATCTGAGTGAGAATCATCTCTTTATCTGTATAAAACAATTCAGTGAGTTTAAATACAAGGCTGACTATTTTCTGTAGGGTGTGTTTGAGCAGCAGTAAAGCTACAAATCCTAATTTTAAGAGACTTTTTTGCCCTTTTCACAGCCGATGAACTAAACTGTAAGATTCAGCAAAACAACAACAAAAAAAAGCTGAGCAAAATTAAAGATTTTGTAAATATTACTTTCCTTAACCCAACTCCTAGAGGTAATTTATCACCGTCCCCTCTCCTGAAGTCTGATCACGTCTTTAGGTTTTTTACTGCAGCAAAAGTTCACAAGATGAAAGATGTCTCTCCTGCGAGCTCTCTTACTTGTCATTCCCTTTGTTAGAATTGCTAAACTGATGTGTTTGTTCGTATGGTTGACTGCTAAAATCCTGACTGTCCACAATGTTCTTTTTGTGCCGTGTTTTTGCCAGGTGGTGTCCAACAGAGAAACTCAGGAGACTCTGCTGTGCATCGCCTTTGTGTTTGAAGTGTCCACGAGCGAACACGGAGCACAGTACCACGTTTATCGACTAGTTAACGACTAGCAGCATGTTGCCTGCATGCAGAGACTCTTCACAGACTTTTTGATACGTACAGCATAAACACTATTTCCAGCTCAACACACAGATTCCCCACTCCTCCACTCTAAACACACTCGTTTTATCAGACCAACCGTCACACTGTTGTCATACCTACGGCTTGTTTAATGTGTATGCGCAGATCTCTCAGCGGCGTCCCGTGACTTTTTAATTCGTGAAATAACTGAAAATATGATAGCTTAAAAAAAACAAAGCAGCAAAAGGGATAAGCTTCATTATATTAAGCTGAATACTTCATATCCCTCCTCATATACACCATATCCAGTGAGAATGTAGCGTCGATGCATTATTATTTCCAGGGAATGTTCCAAGCATATGCATTTTATGTCATAGGTGTGACTGATGTGAGACGAGTTTGAATATAGTTTGTCAAACCAACCATTTAATCAGTGTTAATGTAACCTGCCACAATGACTTATTTCTGCTACGGTTTGTGGTATCTCTGCAAGGTACAATTTGAATGACCCTACAATGGTATATCCTCTGTTACTGCTTAGTGTGAAATCGTGGACTTCTGTTTGATCCAAGGATTTGCAGAAAGTATGAGTGTGCCTCTTTTCTGAAAACAATGCACTACATGTAAAGACGTACATGTTGTATTTATATTTGAAACGGTGTCATAGTGCAAAAGAGAGCCATCACTTTAGGACTATTTTGCTGTTGAAAGGCTTCCAGCGGTACATGCTGTGGAGGGAAGATCTCGATCGGCTCACTTGTCTGTGGAAACAACGGAATGATGCACGGAGTTTTAAATTCAGTTCACACTTGGGTGTCAGCAGCATTTTTTAATGAGAGTTATCTTTACTGTTCCTAGACACAATACTGTTTTGACTTTGACTGTGTGGGCTTGCTGCAGTATTTCTACCTCCACGCGAGTTGGGATAAGAATGTGCTTTGGTTCATAAAGCCTTAAGCTGAGGAGCACTGATGTATAGGATGTGTACACTACTCTTGTAATGGTACTGTTTATAAGCCAAAATAAGGCAAATAGACTCGTTTTTGTAAAGATGAAATCTCTTTTTTTTTTTTGTACTTCACCAGCACAGCAAGAAGTGTTACTCTACACATTTAAGTTGATGGGTGTTGTGGTTGTATCTTTTCTGATGTATGGTACAGACCACATTAAGATTATCCACAGTGCACTGGGGTAGATTTTTCCCTTTATAACACTAACAAAAACTATCCAGCTGACACTTTTTTATTGTTTTGCTCTATGTAATGTTTTTGGATGACTGGTACACATGGTTCCAGCATTTTTATATTAAATCTTATTTGACTCTATCACGCCCTCTCCTGGCAGGATTATGTTTAACCACGTGGAAGGCGTTAATTTGTCTTTTGACTTTCTATTATGACAGTAAGAGCCATCTGGCTTCATTTTTTAGATAAGATAGTCATATGATATTCACTGTGTGGTCAGCCAAAAGTGTTTTATCTTTTTTCTTTCTTTCTTTCTTTCTTTGTATGTACTCTGTTTGGCTGTGCCTCATCACTCCTATGGTCAAGCCTGCTCAGTGAATTAAATCTGTGCCTTTTATGCTGTACCAATAAACTCACATGATGGTTTCTTGATAGCAACATTTTGACAACTGCTTCAAAGAGAAAGTCATTCTTCAGTTGTAAATGAGTAGATTGTAAGTGTTTTACACTAACTTGAGTTAAGAGGAATGTCATATTTGACCTCAGGGCTGAATACCCAGCCAGAATACTTACATTAAACTGTCAACTTCATTTGCTTAGTATCAGATTAAAGCGTTTTGTTTTAAATCATAGCTTTTATGTAGTCGAGCAAAGCTTTTGTAACTTGTTCATTGTTGGCATAAGAATCGACGCTTTCATTCTCTTCATTTGTTCAGTAAAAAAAGGGTGTTTTGTAGGAAATGTGTTTACATTCTTTAAATTAGATATCGAGGACGGAGGGAAGTATTTTTAATTTCTGTATGAAGACCTGAGCATCATTTAGGCAAAAAGTTTTTCAACAATATTCAGCTCTTGTCCTTATAGGCTTTTTCCAACTAAAGACATTTCTCTGTCGTACAGAAATGGGTCTATTTAATTGCATCCACTTCAGGGACATGGTCAATGGGAATCGCTCTTCAAAAATGTTATAATATATACTTGCACAACTTTAATCACCTTTCTTATTTCAGATTAATAACTCACTTGGCTATTTTAGATAATGTGAGTGTGCTTGGTTGTCTGTCTCTAAGTGTAGCCCTGTGATAGACTGGTTCCCCGTCCAGGTGTCCCCTGCCTTCACCCTGAATCAGCTGGGATAGACTCCATTCCCCCACGACCCTAGTGAGGATTACGCACTGTATAGATAATAGATAGTTATTTTAAATCACTCTCACTTGAAAGTTTTTGGTTTGTCCTGCTAGGTGGCGCTGTCCCCTCAAATTTAAAGGTTGACATGACGAATAAAAAGTGCACACTTATTGGGTACGCCTGTGACATCTTATGCAAAACAATACAGCTCTGCCAAAAATTTTGCTTTTCCTAAACTTTTATTAGTTTTTGTTGGAGGTGGCACTTTATATTTATTATCGAGGTCGTAGCGGGAGGCAGTCATGGTGTTTCGGGCTGCATTACATTTAAAAGTATTCCCAATGTCTGTATGTATGTTAACAAGATGGACAAGAAACTGGGAGTATTTTTAAGTGTATTGCAGTTCAGTACACCACCAGCACCTACTATCACCTCAATAATAAATATAAAGTAGAATCATTACCCCGTTTCATTTTAAAACAAAAAAATGTTCAGACTTGTCAAAGCAGAATTTACGACAAAGCAGTCGCACTGGATTGCGTCTAGGTAATAAAGTGTCTGGTGATTGTGTCTTCTCTACATACATTATGCCCTCACCCAACCAGAATTCCTCTTAACTCATGAATCACTCACATAATGTACCTTCACGGTTACATAACAGGTATTATATAACATCCATGTGTTTACACAGATCCTGTTGTTTCCTTATCATCATGCGACGCCATTAATGTTACGGTTCCTTAATGCTGAAAAGATCCGATGCGTCTGACTGTCAAAAGCTCAGACGTGTCTGTGTTTTACTGTCAACTCTGGGTTTTACTGATTGATAAACAGTTCTTTGCATTAAGCGCACCATTAACTAAGATTAATCATCGAATACAGGCTCTATAGGCCAGAGCAGAGATAGTTGTGGACCATGTTTGACCTCAGCTTACTGCTCAGTGCACGTGGATGTGTCAGGCTGGTAGTTTATGAGAAAATCATATGCAACAAATGGCATATTGTCTACACGATGGCAAGCTTCCAAGGTATACACAGCGATGTCTAGGTGATAAGAGAACTAACATTGTGGTTTGACTTTACACACATTCTGTGCAGCAGCCCATCGAGTTTACAGTCAAGCTACAAAGTGGTTGTGACAGTTCTGCCTTGATGAGACATTTTTATTGTGTGTTGTTTTGTTTTTAGCATAAAGAAAACAGTTGTCGACATCAATCACACAAACATGTACAGGACGACTGGCTACTGGTGGTACGTTCACGCTTCCCTGAAAGTGCAGCAAAGCCTTACTGATGTACAGCCTTTACAGTTTTTTTTTTTTGTTTTTTTTTTGCTCAAACCTTTTTTCAAGGTTATGATCAACCTGGACAACAGCTGAATTCCAGTACTCCTGACACACACTCTTTTGGCTGCATTCTTGGCAGACGTTAGATCGACTATTATCTGTGAAGGCTAGACTTACCAGCCCAATGCTGCCAAAACTGCTAAAAAAGTGACACACACCCGCACACACATACAAATCCCTCAGGCTGGGTGTGGTAGTAAAAGCTATCATTGTTAGCTAAAATAACATAGTTCACGAGTTGCTCATGGCTAAATCTCAACTTAGATCAGTAAGTTACTGAGTCATGGACAAGATCTGATAAAGGTTTCATATGGCAGATGCTTAAAAATTTGATAACTGATTCCGGATACAGTGTTGGATTTGTATTTTTTTCCCCCCCATTCAGGTCTACAGCTATCAAATCTGATAATCCTCGTCGTGGATGTATAATCTCACCTTCCTGATCAGATTTACACTATCAACAGCTCAATTAAATATTTGACTGAGCTTTCTCCATCTGTCTCAGCTCGGGGCAGCTATACCAAGAGGGGCTCGGTTTATCTGCAGCCACGGTGCCATAAACCCACGCATGTGCACATATCATATCGCAGGTAGGCTGCGTTACAAACATGGCATTTATTGCTTTAGCAGTGTAGAGACAAAAGGGTGTGGTGGGAAAGTGTCACCCGCAGAAGCGCAGCCAAAACAATCCGGTTATGCAGAGATCAAGTGTGCTCATATTATCGTCTTTGCCGTCTCTGCCATGCCAGTCTTACCCTCATTTCATTCGGCCTCTTCATTCTCTTGCCGTTTCCTCCCTTTTTCTTTGCTCTCGTTTAAAGTTGACTCATGCTTGATCATTGCCTGCACATTGGAAATCAGACAGTAGAAAGTACTTCACGCTAATCCAGCCCACAGGTGGATATGAGCACGCAGATGTATGATCTTTATTTTTTTTTTGCATTTTTCCCCCATCAGTATCTTTGTTTAAACACAAAAACTTATGTTTAAATACATCTGTAAAGTATAAACCACGAGAAAAATCTAAATATGCCACCATCATCCCATTTCTAATGAGCTCATCATTATCAGTGACCAACATTTGCTATTAGTTTTGCATCATGTGAGTTTGCGGCTTTTAAAATTGCTCTAAATGTTTCCATACACCCAGCAGACACACAGAGTGAAGATCTGAGACACACGATGGATTTAATATCACAAAATATGAGCATGTCGATAAGTTGGGTGTTTCAGTATTAGCGATAAAAGTCAGTATAGGCTCCAGCTCCCCCCCCACGATCCTAGTGAGGATTAAGTGGTGTATAGATAATGGATGAATAAAAAGTCAGTAATTATGGATTCAAGTTGAAAAAACTACACCATGCCCTTCTTGTTGCACATGGAACTATTATGCCTGTTGCATCATCTGTGGCAGAAGTACAAAGAGGATAAACTTTAAATTTATGGTTTCTCATAAAACAGTAAGTCATGATTATCATTTTAGCTTGGGATGCTGCAACAGTTGGATACAAGAAGTAAAAAAAAAAAAAAACAAAAACGATAAAATGCTGTCTCCTAATACTAATAAACCTTACAGGCCCATAGTCATGCTGAAACAAGTTATGGTAAGAAGTTGTTGGTTGATTTTGAATGCCCCATATACCGCTTTATGCAAATTGCATTTTTGTGAGATTTTGCATTTCAATAAAATGTCAAGGGAGGGATACAGTTGCAATCTGCTGACTAATGGGCCAAGAGGTCACTTTCAGTGCAATGACCACTAAACAGGCCTTTACTGGAAACATTTGTGACTTGCATGAGCAATAAAATGTTGACTTTGTCTATTTTTGTAGCTTCACTTTCAGTGTCCATTGATTTTTAATGCTGGCTCACTTGTCACTCTGTCAAGACTTAGTGGGACAACAGGAAGAAATGGTAGTAGTGTCATCTGCATTATCAACTGGACAGATGTTAAACTAGAGGGTCAGGGGCAAGTGGTGCAGTTGGTTAGCACTGTTGCCTCGCAGCAAGAAGGTCGACGGTTCACGTGCTGGTGGGGGCACCGGAATCTTTCTGCGTGGAGTTTGCATGTTCTCCCAGCGTGGGTTCTCTGGCTTCCTCCCACAATGTCCAAAAACATGATCCTAAATTGTCCGTAGGTCTTAATGTGAGTGTGCTTGGTTGTCTGTCTCTAAGTGTAGCCCTGCGATAGACTGGCGACCTGTCCAGGGTGTCCCCTGCCTTCACCCTAAGTCGGCTGGGACAGGCTCCAGCCCCCCCGCGACCCTAGTGAAGATTAAGCGGTGTATAGATGGATGGATGGTCAGGGGCAACTACATTGGTCCCTTCTGTGTGTCTGTGAACAGTCTCTAGACATCTAACAAGTTGATATTTTACAGGTGAACTAGGAATGGTCTCTCCTCTGAACGCTTCGACTCTGGGGTCAATGGTGCAAAGAGGTTAAAGGTCATATTTTTCAAAAATGCTGGCATCCCTCTACTGAGGGCCCTCTAGTTTTTTTTTTATTTGATTTTGATTGGGAAGTTTGGTAAAAATGCAAGGTTTTCAACTGGAGAAGAGCAACAATTTTAGGAAGGCACAATAAAAGTTCACAGTTTACAGACTTGTCATATTTTGTACATAGAAAATGAACTGTTTCATTTAGGAGAGGGTTGATTCACTGAGGTTTGCCAACATTATAAAATCGTACTTAAACAATAAAAATTATTCAGTTGACTCAGCTTTTCTTTCTTTTATTTTTTTCAGTAAAAAAGGATTTTACTAATCCGTTTTTCAGGTCGCTGCCCTTTTCTCTCTCTCTCTCTTTTTTTGTGCTTTTTTCCTCACTCTCTCTCTCACTAGGTGTTGGCCTTCAGTGGAACAGAAACCACACGCCTTCCCGGATGAGACAACACTAATGAGTCTTCTGGCTGAGGGTTACCAGAAGGCCAACTAAGGTTTTACTTTGGGAAAAAAAAAAAAAAAAAAGCCCATCCTCTTTTGCACCACAGCTGCACAGATCGCCTATTGTCCACATCACTGCCTCTTCCTCGGCTCCTCCCTTTTCTTCTTTTTTTTTTTTAACTCCCTGCTTCACACCTGCCTGTGAACTCTCCTCTGTAGTTGACGGGGCGCGGTCCCGAGGGTGGAGTCCACCGCGGCGGCTGCTCTGGGAACATTCAACCCATCTGCATACTTGGCACAGCCGCTGCGTTCGTTTGCTGCACTTCTCCTCCGGGCTTTGAACTTTCTGGAGTGCTCCGACTTTGGAAAGTAAAAAAAAAAAAAAAAGATCCACACCGTTCAGCTAACGAGGGGGCACCGACTCGCTGAAGATGATGGCTCCGGAGCCGCTGCGATCGGCGATGACCATCGGGGTCTCGGAGGACACGTCGCTCGCGCTGCCCTCCGACAACAAGCTGCGCACGGGACAGCAGCGCGTGCTGGATCAGGTCCACACGATAAAGAGGAGCAAGTCCAAACAGGGGAAGAACGGCAACCTGTCTCCGTCTCCTACAAGTATGGAAACTCCTCATATTACCGACTAAAGCTATCATTTCCTTCCGCGTTGCCAGCTTTGTTGTCCGCCAGATAACTTTAAATATCTATTTTTACGCTTTACAGGTAATATTGTTGCTTATTTCCTCGGGTTTTCCTGACAAAAAAATGCGTCACACATAATTCCCAGCAGTGACGGTTGCATCCTCCAACCGGCCTGTTTTCCTGCTATTGCATTTTTTTGGCAAGCGACCCAAAGGAAACCACACCGTTTTCATTCCCATGCCTTGAAAGTCGGTTTAAACACTTGTGCCTTTTCAAGTCCAAGCCAGTTTTTGTATCAGTTGGGCGGAAAATGCTGACTGACATAGACGTGTAGTTGTTTTCCCTCCTGTAAGGTGACGCAGTAGTGCAGGTAGTAGTGTTGGTAGTGAGGCTCTGCAGTTATTCGAAATATTGTGGAATTTGCAATGTGTCTAAATGGCATTAAGACAAAATATGTCACCAAAAAAATGTATGAATGAAGCATTGTGGTGCTACAGGGTTTATATCATTATTATATACACTCCAGATATAAGAAACTGCAGCAAGTGGAAAAGAAATGAAAAAGTTCTCACTGAAATCAAACCTCGCATTCAAAACAATCAGTACTGAAGGTGTGTTAAGTAATGATTGGTAAGACCAAAACACGATTTGTCCATAATCCATACCTCTCGTGTGCAATATCATCCTTGGGTTTTGTTTGTCAGCTTTGAAAAACCGCCCTGTCAGTATAGTGGCCTACTTTTTATGAGCTGCTGCTCACAGAGTTAGGAATGCAGCACAGAGGCTCACTGAAAACCACACGCAGGTATTCCAAATTACATTTTAGTCTTTCAAAACAACCCCAGCGTTTGGCACTGCTGCAATAAGGCATTATAAAGATCCACCAAGCTTGAGAAACGAAACATCTTTTATTAACTTGTGAAACATCTACAGGACCCTCCTGTTGAGTCAATGTGTGATGATTAAGGGATCAGTAGTGATTATTAGTCATCGTATCGGAAGGCAGTTTCGTTGTTGGTAAAATTCTCGGTAAAATGAAAACAGTGGTGGCGAAGCGTGGCACAGATGATACAGGCTCCTCTAGTCTACGTTAGATGGTTTAAAGGATAGTACAGGTCGAGAAATGTAGGCAAAATGAAACCCAAAATGGAAGAGCTGCTTGTGTAACATTCAAAAGTTGTTCTTCCTTACATTGAAACCCAGCTTTGTATTCAATCTTTTCCTGCAGCACTTTTTAAAAAACTTGGACGACTGTCAATGCCGAAAACGAAAACAGCCAAATTCATTATCATCTCTGATCCTTGAGTCTGTTCCAAAATTCTGTCTTTGCTTTTTTAAAGGACTTTTCTCATCAGGTTTTTATTTTCCATTCCGTCTTTTGTTCTATAATCAGTATTTAAGACAAACTGAAAGCTTTTTTAAAAAAAAACAACTCTCAAATTGAGCTTGAACACTTGGCCGCTGACGGTCAACAAATGCTGAGAAAAACAACCACAGGGTTAGAGTGGCTCACATCTTCGAGGTTATTGGCTGCTCTTAGCCTTCATATTGGTGCAAAACATGGAAGGTCAAACATGATATTAATTAGTGTGTCTAAAGGAAACTGCTGTAGCAATCATGATAGTAACGTTGGACATATGCCAATGTGGATTTTCCCGTAAATGACTGCGACCTGTTCCGTCCTGCCAGGTTAAATGGGGTCAGTCAGCAGCTTATCTTAAGTGTAACCATTCCATGAAAATAGTTTGAGTTTTATGTGCTGAGGTTTCGAGTTATTGGCTTTTTAACATTTCTGGAGGTGACTGGATGTTTGTTTGTGATGCTCAGAGAGTTCAAGTGGAGGAAAAACATGTTTATGCCAAAAAGAGAGATGGATCGCATGTGTGCAAGTCTTTCAAATAACTCTGTCACAAGGGTTGTCTTCTCCAACGCAGCGCTCATCCATATCAATCGGTAATGCTTTTAAAAATGCTTATAGGAAGAAAGTGCTATGATTTGACCACCAGCGAGCAGTAAAGCTGACACTACTTTTTTACCAGTTATTTCTGTAGAAACTGCCTACAGCTAGGTTTGTGACTTATCCTGAGTAACTGGTGCTTTATCTCTGAAAAGACATGCGGCTGTTGACTTTTAACCTCCATTGCTGAAGTTTCAGAGGGAGATTTGGAAAAAAACCTCAGCGCACACAAAATTGAAACAAGCTGCTTGGCTAGATCGCGCTAGGAGTAGCATGTGAGAGGCAAAAAGGTGTTTGTCGTGATTATAGTGAGCCTTTAAGGCCTTTTTATTTGGTTAGACGGTTCTTTAGTCACATATCGAGATCTCTTCTTTTCATGCACGGAACTCATATATTGGCATTATCGGTATATCAGCCATACATTTACATGCAGAAACAACTATCTGTGACTGACATGTCGGCCGTTCTGTCTACCGAAAGGTTTGGCAGCCATGCATTCATCGCTTTAATACCCGTCATGTATATGTCAAGTGCAAAGCCTCTAAACAAAGTAGAGTGAAATGAATGAAAGTTTCAAGTATTTTAAAGAATGCGTTCTACCGTTTTGCAAGTCTTTGGGAAACATAATCAGCTGCACCCTTGTGGACATGAATTTCATGTGAATAATAAAATACCACTGATAATAATGAATATTTAGAAAACCACACGTTTCACATGCAAATCTTCAGTGGGATGGAAGCCTGTAGGCAACACAGTGACTTTAAACAACCCTTCAGCACTCGTGCTGTTGTACCAGTGTGTGTGTAAAGCTCAGTGGAGGTGTGTCAGATGTGTTTTGAGTTTCTTTGTTGTTGTTTGTCATACAGCTCCTGGCAACATCCTGTGGCTAAACATGGAGTTGTTCCATATAACTGTCTATTTTGCATTCTTCTTTTCTCTGTGTCTCTGTTGTTTGTTTCATTTTTTTCCCTCAATTGTCCTTCAACAGGCCTGAGTCCACAGACTTTGACAACATACACCGAGTTTGGAACATTCAGGTTTTTACCTTCCAAAATGAATGGCACCACCAGCCGCTCCAACTCCACCACGTCAGCCGGCTTCAACAAATCGGTAATTGATTCTCTTAGAAATAACATGTATATAAAAAAGTTGTTTTACTGCAGTTGAAGTATTTACACTTTGGATGCACCGCTTGTTTCAGTTCAGTTTCCTCACAATAATCGATCCCGAATATAAATCAATATGTTTGCATGCATTGTTTGTCGTCCTTATAAATGTTACCAGTGAGTTGTTACCTTCTGACTGAAGCAGGCTTGTTGATTCCTTTGGTTTCCAGTTAAACTAAACATCTGCAGGCTCCATCTTCATACTGAATGTACAGTTATGGGAGCGGTATCTTTTACTGCTTGGCAAATAAGTGTACTTTCCAAAATGTCAAACTTTTCCTTAAAGAAAATCTATAACACTGGAGCATGAATTGTAAAGTCGTAGACATGTGCATTTGTGTGTGTGTGTGTGACTGTTATGGTCTTGCACTCCCTAATTTTGAAGTTGCATAATGGCTCCCACATGCAAAAATTCCAAAGCAGATCTTGTTGAGAAAATTTGGCCTTGGGTCTAAGTTTATAAGAATGGGAGGGCCTTCTCAGTCACGGCTGATTTATGAGTGTTTTAGGAAATGTTAAAGATGCTGCTTGAACACATGGCGTGGCCACATGGCATTAGGGGTTAGAAAATCCACTTTTCATGTCTGTGACCAGATTGGTTGATCCCCCCCCTAACCCTCCCCCAGCACTGCATCTTCTGTTGATTTTAATAACATTTAAAGCAGAGGTAGGCAGTATTTCTTTTGGCATCAGTGGGCAAAACCTGTATTCTGGTGGTCTGAGAGGAAACTAGACCTCTGTAGCTCCTCCTTGCTCGATTTTGAGGCCTTTCAGTGAGAGCAAGATATGGTGGTGTAAGGAGATAGGCAGAGGACTTTCACTTACAAGACTGAGGATCAAATTCCAGGTGAAGCCATGCATAATTGTAGGCTTTTAGCTTGAAGCTTGTGCTTATGTGGCAGGAGGGGTTTGGAAGAGAGAGGGGATACCTGAAGGAGGAGGAGTACTGCATGTCTTCAAATTCTTGTGTTCTTTCTTTTTTTCTTCGACTGCAGCTTCAGGAGAGTGGGCCTGCATGCCACATCATAATGTTTTTGAAAGTCAATAAGATTCAGGGTGTGATAGACTTATTTTCAATACTAGACTATCCCAAACTTCCTAAAGGAGCAATGCTGACTTCATCAGTGTGGTTTTGTGGGTGTTGACATGTTTGTGAATAAGTATTTGCACTAAGATGTCCTGATGTGACCTACTGACAGTGAGCTGAGGCATGTCTAGGGAGTGTGGCGATGTTCTCTTCCTGATGAAACCTCATTACCATCAGGTCATGAAATACATCTCTGTCAGATTGTGTGTTTTTTTAAAACTTATCTCAGGAAATTGTTATTTACAATGTAAAGTGCTTGAAGAAAGGTCTAAGAAACCAAAATAATCCTTAATTGCAAGTTAAGTGAGTCTGAAATTCTTGATTTTTAATGTACTGTGATTGAAAGTTATTTTCCAATCAGAAATCTTCATCAGATTGATTCAAAAATCCAGTATTACCATTACAACATAACACAACAGCTTTGGCGTCTCTCTTTGCTTGCTTATGTGGCCTTATGAGTTTTTTAAAAGTTCTTCTTATAGGCCTAGTAGTACAATTTATCTGACCAATACCACAGCAGAGCCACAACACTCTAATTGCAAACTAAATGCTACAAAACACAAATCAAATGCATTGTCCATGTGGCTCATTTTTACTGCATAATCAACAATTGTTCATCATTTATAATTTATACTTCATTGATGATCGTATTGCTTTTCACAGTACACAAGTATATTCTGTTCTCATATATGTGTGACTTAAAAAGCAGAAATTACCACGGCTGAAACCTTTGATTGTGTTCCTCAAACATCAACATTGTGCTGTTTTGTCTGTGTGGCCTGCATTAGCTCTGCTGAACTGGCATTATTCTGTCTTGTCCAGCCTGTGATATAAAGAAAGGTCTGGTGGCTCAGTCAAGCTTTACCCAAATACAGGGAACATGCAGCACTGTGATACTGAACACATTGTGAGCTCTTATCAAATATGCTGTTGACAGATCCCTCCTCTATCATTCTTTTACTGCTAAGTAGCATGGCTGACATCTGGACCATAACCATATCCGGTTTGAAACAGCAATGTATCCGCACACACATTGAGGATTGTGTGTGTGTGTGTGTTTTTCTTGTATCTGTGCCACCTGCTTGTCCATTAACCAGCAATTCTTCATGATAAATTCTCCAAATCAAAATGTCAACATGTCTGTTGCCGGCGTTAGTGTAAGCTGTGAAACAGATTGTGAAGACAGGTTTAGCAGGTGCTCTGTCTGACACACAAAGCTCTCCTGTAAGAAACTGCTCAACTGCACCAGCAGTCTTCTGACACAAACAGCTTAGGGTTAGTCTCCAGTGACAGATACTATGTTACAATGGTTTGTGTGATTGTTCGATGTAACCTGCTTCCTCAACCTAAACTGCAAAAAGGAAGGAAAAGAAAAGGTATGCAGCCTTTGTGTCGGGTCAAATTCCTCTGCGTTGGGTTACAGGGGATGCCTTTGAAAGCTGTTCTTGTGGAAAGTGGGTTACCTACTTTCTTGTTTTTCGCAGCCTGATTTGTTTCTACAGCGAAGCCTTGAGGTTATACAGTAATTTATTAGGTAACAGTTTTCCTGATAGGTCAACTAAGCCACAGCTGGACTTCTTGCAATGTGTTACTTGCGTATTTCTCAGTCTAATCCAATGAAAATGCTGTCTGTAATTTTAAACTATATCATCCTCTGGAGAACCGTGCATGGAAATGTTTAATATACAGTAAGCAAACCTCCTAAACTTAGCATTCTTTTTTAAAAATGTTTTTATAGATGAATGTTCAGAAGAGTCGTACTCTATCCACTAAAACCATGGGAGGAAGATATTTCAGCACCTCGGGCACATGGGAAAATCAAATCAACTCTTCCAACTGGCCCCAGGGTCCCAACGGGTTGAAACCGAGTCGCAGTGACCCTGCCTTGGCTCCAGCTTTTACTGCTGCCCCTGCGCCTGTCATGGTGATCAGTTTGTGTTTTACACTTTCTGCACATTTTGCATTGCACACGTGTAAGCCTAAAAGCTCTATTCCACAGCACTAAAACAGCATTGTAAACTGCTATTTTTCAGAGAGCCAAAGGACAGACGGCCCAGAGCCAGACCACCCTTCTGACCCGAACAAATAGACAAAGCACGTCTTCAATGGCCAATGGCATTAAGATGACCAGCAGCCAGACACGCATGCAGCGGCCACCCTCGACCAATTCTCATAACGAGGGCAGAATGAGTATGATCAAAACATCCAACATTGAGCAGAAATCTGCGTGAGTTCACCTTCCTCCCTGGCTTTTAATTCTCACTTATTGTCTTTTAAATCCACCTGAAATGAAACCCTGAACTCAAAACAGCCTAATTTTTCTAATTTCCTCCCCTCTCTCTCATCCTTGTGCCTGTTTCTGCAGGGTGAACACCGCAACTAACATGTCAGACATGACCCTAAAGGAGGCCGTAGAGTTCCTGTCTCACCCTGAGGAGAATTACCAACAGTGTGGAGCCACCTTCATCCAACACACCACCTTCAACGAGGAGCGCACCAAACCGGAGGTCTGAGCCCTTACTCAGAATTATACTGGACATGTTTCTCATTAACTTGTACAGACACACCCTCCAAGCACACTCAGTAGTGTTAGTTAGTTTTGCATTATATTTGTGTGAGGATTATCTTGTGCAATGATGATATAAGTCGAGGAGCGATCTGCAAAGACTTTTGTATATCCTGCCTTGAGGGAATGGGAGGAGAAGCAATTTATCTTCACGCTTGGCCACTTGTAACTTAAAGTTTTGTCAGTGCGTTGCCACACCTTCAAATATCACATTTTTTCACACCCCTTTCCTCTACAATTCTGCATTTCAGGTTTTACAGCTAGGGGGTATTCCTCTTCTGGTGACCCTACTGCGAAGCCCTAACCCAGGAGTCAACCAGGCAGCTGCTGGGGCTCTGAGGAACCTGGTGTTCAAGGACCAGAATAACAAGCTTGAGGTTCAGCACTGTGGTGGTATAGCTAAGGCCTTGCAGCTGCTGAAGGAGACAGATTCGACTGAGACACAGAAACAAATCACTGGTAGGAGCAGTTTAAGTGGCCTCGTTGCTTTTAATTCAGACTTAACACATCAAACATACACTGAAAATTTAAACCTAAATGAAATGAATCATTCTGTTTTCTTTTACTTCCTTTTTATTGTTTGTAAATATAAATAATAATGTAAAGCATAAAGACCACGTCACCAAAGGCAGTACTTAGCTTTTATTCGCATACATGAAAATGTAAGAATTTCACCTCCTCATCTTAGCACATATAACTGTTCATAAGTTAATTAAATTTCAAGTCCCATATAGCTACCTGAGGACAAAAATGAAATTAAGTAAATTCAATAGAAAGCAAAAGAAAATGATAAAGGTTGTCAGTGTGTTAAATTAAGACCATTTCAAATTCAACTGTGTTTTTAAAACAGAGAATTGGTCTTGAAGAAATATTTAGTTTTCTCGTGTGTATTATGCATGCATTTCATGCATTTAATCTCTAGAGACAGAGAAAATAATTGAAGGATAAATAACTTTACAAAAGCCCATTAGGATTTTCCAATGCTTGTACACTTATTCTTTGCGTGTCATACGTAGGCCTGCTGTGGAACCTTTCCTCCACCGATGAGCTGAAGGAAGAACTTATTGCTACGGCACTGCCTGCCCTGACAGAGAATGTGGTGAAGCCTTTCACTTGTTGGTCAGACAGCAGCGCCAACAACCACGTCGATCCTAGTGTCTTCTACTGCGCCACAGGATGCCTGAGGTGAGATTGTCAAAGGTGCGATGGCTCCGGCTGTCACCATCTTGGCAGTGCGGGAGTCCACCTAACTCCTGGCAAATTCCAAAAATGGGCAAAAGGGTAGAGCTGAGGCAGGCTTGTTTTCACCTTGCTAACATGTCCATATGATGTTTTTATACACTAAAAGACGTATGAGAGAAATAAGCAGCCAGCGACTTGGTTGAGCATTTCTGCCTTGAAACTGCAGTGTACCGATGATAGCTTTTAAAGCACATGTTCAGACTTCCCGCGTTTCATACCTAACAAACCTAAGAAACCAGTACTGTGGACTTGCAGGATGGGACTTTCTGTATCCTTATTGTCTTTTAAAATAAGTGTCCCATTTAAACATGTACAACTGAATCCCTCCAATAATGCAGCTCTCCATTTTGTAGTGTCAGAGTAGTTTTACAACCTTCATACTGAGTTGTAGGTGAGCTGGTGTGTTCACAGATCTGCACTTTGTAGAAGAGGCAGTAATGTGAAGTTGCATCTTAGCCACATTAAGGAAGAAATTGGTTATAACATCTAATTATGTAATTCTGATGGCAAGAGATGTTTAGGGTTCAGTCAAAGACCAGAGAGGGGCTTAAAACAGTTAATAATGATGATCTAATGATGTGCGTAGAAACCTGAGCTCCGGCTCCGAGAGTGAGAGGAAGGCAATGAGAGAGTGTCCCGGTCTCATCGACTCCCTCATGAGTTACATCCAGTCCTGTGTGGCAGAGGAAAACCCTGATGACAAGGTAACCCCCTGAATGAACTTCTCACTTCTCATGTTATCATCTGCAGAACCTTTTCCCATCCATTACTAGTGTTTGTAAATGGACACCCTAAAGGTCCCATTTTTTTCCCCCTTTTCAACAAAGTCTCACATATCCTCAGAATGTGATTTGATTCACGTCACCGTGACAGCTTTATTGGGAATTCCCTGTAAGGCAGTATATGTGAGCACACAGCAGGAGAGAAGTAAACAGATGTAAACACTGGCTGAGCTTAGGTTGCACTGAAACGTAACAGGCAACATAAAAACACACTAACCCGCACCCTGTCCTTGTGTTTTGGTATCAAATCAACCTTGAAGTTTCCACCCTCTCTGATTGTCCCTCAGCTTTACAGTTTCCATAATCAATCAATCAAAGCTAATGAAAACTTTTGTTTCATTACCTGCACAGCATGCTTACAAGAGGGATTTGCCTTTTGTTGCGATGACATTGCCATTAAAAATAAAAGTAATCCACTGGATCCTCAGTTCCTCAGATGCTGGGAGTGCATCAAGACTCTTGTGTTTGCTCTTACAGCCAACAGCAGAAGATTTGGTGAGCTTTGCTGGTGGCTGAAACACCTAAGCATGAGCAGAAGCGGCTCTAGAAAGTGGAGAAGGCAGCATTTGGAATAGTTCGGCTGGCAGGCAGCAAACCGGCAGGAAAGCTTGAGGTAGATGGCGATTGGTAACTTACTTGGAATATAGCAGCTCAGTAAAACTCTTACTGGCTTGTAAATTTAGTTCAAACATCTTCAGATCTTAAGGTTTTACTTTACACCTCCAAGTTTATAACGACCACAAAACACAATAAAACTGGATTTTCACCTCTAAACCTTTTGGTCTCTGAACTTTATTATGCATCAGAGGTAATTAGTAGACTAACTGTTACTCTAGTGCTTCCCTTAATAGGCCACAGATTTTACTGTTCTCTCTTTTATTTCGTTATAAACTACCTGTTGAGTTTTTTAGCTGTCTGTTGGAAAAAAGCAAACAAAAGAGCTTCACAGAGGGATTGCTGTTGATTGATTGACTTTATAACGACATTGCAGAAATACTTCAAGTTAAAACATCCTTATTGTAATAGCCGTATCAGCGGCTCTGTTTATTTTTCTGTGTATCAGACTGTAGGTTGTTTGTCTGACTCGTTTTTGTTTTTTCCAAACTTTCCCTCCAACACTGAGTTGTAGGTACGCGAGCAGGTGAAAACTGCTACGGTTGGATTCCCATGTGGTTACGCAGTTTACTCATAGTTCCTGTAGAACATGTCTCACGTGTTTCTCACAGAATGTGTTCAGTCGCGATGCTAAATATATCCTGAAGTGCATCTACACACACACACACACACACAGTACAAATACCGATATAGACTTACCCACTTGAATTTATCTGTACACACTGGCACGTTTCACATTCATAGACACACATGTGGAGGCAGATTAACACAGCGGGCATGGTCGACAAGTCTATACTGTATTTAGCTTGTGGTCATATGTGTACCTGCTTATTTGTGGAAGTCTTGGGTGTGGATGTCTTTAATTATATGGCTGTGTTAGTACGGAGTTTACACAGAGTTCATTTTAAAAACTAGCAGAGTGTAACTGGTGTTTTGTGTCGTCGAAGAGGAACAGAGGTCCCTGTGAGCTCCAAATTTCAACCAATTAACCAGAAATTATATTTAACATTATGAAATATTAGCAGTCACTGAGTCGTGCATGGTATACCATTTTATTTTTTAAATTGGAAAACTTCCTTCAAAGAAACATCTGTGGATTTACCACTTTTTTTTTTTGTTCAACATACTGACAAACGTGCTTAAATATGCCACCTAAAACTGCCTCAAGTTGATTAGAAAGTAAACCTGTTAGGCAATGGAGTGATGTTCGACTCTCAGAATGGACAAAAACATGACAATAAGAGCTTTTAATGTATTATTGGTAAACTTTTTCTCCCTTGTCCTCTAGTCTGTGGAGAACTGCACCTGCATCCTCCATAACCTGACCTACCAACTGGAGCGTGAATGCCCTGAAAGTTTCAGCGACTTATGCCCTCAGAAAGGGGCCCAACTTGAGAATAAGAAAAGTCCCACAATCGGATGCTTCAGCCCTAAAAGCAGCAAGGCTCAAAAGGAGGTGGGCATTAACACCTTCAGCAACACCTTCACCCTCGTTTTTTTTCCCCCCTCATTTTTCGACTAAAACATGACTGGCCTCTAACCTGAGCTTGCACTATCTTCTCTTCTTAGTTTTCTTATGATGTTGCTCGAGGAATGCCACAGGACAGCACGCCATCAGGTGTCAAGTGGCTGTGCCATCCTAAAGCTATGGAGGCCTACCTGTCTCTGCTGGGCTCGTCCCAGAAAGACGCCACCTTAGAGGCCTCCTGTGGCGCTCTGCAGAACCTGACTGCTAGCAGGGGCCTGGTGAGTACAAAGAGGATCGTTATTTGGCTTATCCTTTAATGCTGTGTGAATGCACATCAGGATTATCGCAGAATGACTTAAGAAAGAGGTAAAACAAAGGCAGACGTGGTAGAATGAATAACGCAACAGTGCAGGTCACACCAAGATTTTCATTCGTCAGAAAGGGTGCAGTTTTGCCTTCAGGTTTATAGATGTAAAATTCATTTCTTTCGAATGTCAAATAATTACACAGTTAAAAGATTACAAACATGGATTTGATATTTCACTGTTTACTTGGCATAAATGTTAACTATGTAAGTAAAGTAGGACGTGCTGCTGATATGTTACCTTCCCTTTGTGTTTCGTTTCAGGGTTCCAGTATTGTGAGCCAGATTCTAGTTAATAAGTTCAGGGCTCTGTATTACATTACCCCTCTGTTAAAGTCGCCTAACCACACCCTCCAGAAGACTGCTATGTCCCTGCTGGGCAACATGTCTCGGTCAGGCGGTTTGCAGAACAACATGGGTAAGAAGCAGCATGATACTGATAACAGATGAGTCACTGGAAAAGATTGTTTGTGTGGCTTGCAGGTGCTTTAATTTAGCCTAACTGAAATGGCTTTACTGTCTTCCTTGTAGCAAAGTATGTTTTGCCTGAGCTCTCCGGCCTGCTCACAGCTGGCCCCCGGGAAATGGGAAACTCAGACGAAAGCATATCAGCAGCTTGCAGCACAGTGCAAAGACTGATCTCGTCAGACAATGAGCTCAGCAAGAAGGTCATCACTAAACAACTGGTCGATTCACTGGCTGACCTCAGTGAGAATGAGTGAGTCCTTATTTATTCATCTCTGTGTGGGAGATTGAGCTTTCATAGCAGTTACAAGCACAAATGTACTTCCTTGACTAAACACCTCTTCTTTTCTGTCTTAGGTCTCTTCCCAAAGCCAGTAAAGCAGCCTCGCTGCTGCTGTACAGCTTGTGGAATGAGAAGAATCTACAGGGTCTTGTGAAAAAGGTAAATTAAAAAGGAAAAAAATGCTAAAAGTTCAGCTCATGGTGTGTTTCGTTCTCTCAGGAATCTATTGTACTCATGTGTCAAGTCAACTCATGCTCACACTGCCTTGCACGAGCAGCGGGAGGGCCCTGCTGCAATGAGTGGGTGTTTGTTATTACTCACACACTTTCCCTTCCCTTCTGCCACACCCAAGACATCAGTGAATACAGAAACAATTACACTGGAATCCTGGCAAACGGGTTTTTAGTGCTCAGTGTCTATTATGGGAGGAGCAATGCAAAGAAAATGTAGGAAAGATGTAAAAGGGGTCGAAACAGTAAGGGTCAGAAGTGGAGAATAGAAGGAATATGACTTCTTTTTTGAGATATCTTAATGAGTACAAGGAACTCTGTTTACAGTATCGTACAAACAGTAGAAAAACTTTTATAGTGCAAGTCATAAATTCTGAAAAAATTGGCAGACAATTAAAGTTGTTTGAAAGGTTACAGCACTAGTGTACAATTTTCACACTGCTATTACTTGCCAGAGGCTCCTCTAAGTTGCTGACACAGTACATTGCTTCTCACAGGTATTGGAAGGGTGTGTTTCGAACATGTGCTCTTGCATCTTGACTGATTTCTGTTGAACGTTTTTATCCACAGCTGGGGATCAACAAATCCCTCTTTGTCAATGACGTCACCACAGCAGTACACCAGGCGGCGCAGGTTATCGAGTGAATGTGATCGACAAGTGAAGCGGCAGCATACAGCCAGAAAGGTACGATCTGCTCCTCAATGCCTGTAGCTGCATTTATCAGGGTTTCTGCAGCTCCCGAGTAAAAATCCAATAATCTGAATTTATGGCCTTTGAGTTGCCTTCGGACATTTATGAGACTTTGTAATAACTGAATGAATTATGAAGCTTATGTTATTTTTATGAAGTTGCGTTATCTTAAGTCTCGATTTTTAATGTGTTTTGGGTCAAAAAGTTGAACTGATCAAGCAAGAACTAAACAAAACCAACATGGAACCAATATCTAACTAATGCAAATGGTGCAGCCTGGTCAGAAGTTATCAGAGCACATCCAGCTGGTGTGTGGAGATGTGGCGTCTCCTCATCAAAACAGCTACATCTAGAAGTAATAAGCTAAAATTGTGTCTTTTAATGATACTTTCATTAGACACGGGAAAGTGCAAACTCAACATGATGCGGCTCAAGAACAGTGTTCGATTGAAACCCTTTAGAAAATACCAATTTTAAACCTCCTGCACCCTTTGCAAGAAAGTACGAAACTTTGGCACTGGAGTTGCACGGGAAGCCAGAAATACATAAATGCGCACCACCAGCAAATGCCTGCCATCACCCATTCGTGTTCTGTATTCACCACCACTCTGCACCAACAATGTTAACCCCTGCAGCTCTGGTAAACAACCTACAGATGGCGTTTGGATCTACGCCAACATTAAAAGTGGAGGGGCTCTAGATTTTGCACATAGTAGTCCTGGAGAAATAACCTTCTTTGCAATTGGAGTCTTAGCTTGTTGGATACTCCAGTAAACAGTGAGGCTGATTTTCACAGGTTTGTCAGTGTGGATGTAACAAGGTCTCACGCTGCATTCATCATGGTCTTATACGTCTTATATTTCACTTGTTTAAACCTGCAGAAACCCTGATTTATTGAGATTTAAAGTCCAAAATAAGCCTAGTATTAAAAGGATTAAAGCTTTTTTCTCTGTGCCTTCTCTGTTCTGTCTGTTTATGTCTATGTGGATGTGTCTGTGCTTGCAGGTGAACACCAGCATGTTCAGACACTGCTTTGGCCACGCCCTTTCAACGAAGGCAGGAAAATTACCCTCTTCATTAACAACACTGTTGAGAGAGTGCATCAATTATGAGTCAAGCATACATTGTACATACTTTAGAGAAAACACAGCTTTTAGTTTCGTGCATAATCCTGCGGTGCATGTATTTAATCTGGATATGTTTCTGTCTGTGTATATAGATGGGTGACTGTTTTAGTTAGGTTAAGTGTGTATGTATGTGTGTGCGTGTGTGTGTGTGTGTGTGTCTGCTGAAACCCAGTTCTGATGGCCTGCGAGCCACAGTACACCGGACGATGTGGACAGACAAGTGTTACCGGCGTTGGAATGTTACTTGCAGTGATTGTTCAGATGTATGAATGCCATCACTGTCCCATTTGTCCGTGTCCAACAGCTAAAAGATCAAATCTATTGCGGTCTTGAAAACTGTGCAGCCAAAAATGAAAGAGAATTCTATGAAATGCTAAAAAGGGTTTACAAAAAAAAAAGAAAAGAAAAGAAAAAAAGACTGTGTGAATTTGTGATGTTATTGCTGATGAAAAATGGCTGATCTAAACAATGTGTTCTTTTTCTTTGTTTTAAAGACAAATAATATAAAAATCCCCTTTGTTTAGTTTTTTTTTGGTCTCATCTAGTTTGCTTTGTTGAAGTTAACAGATTTTTTTAAACATTATATACATGTTTTATATAAAGGCCTGAGAAAACTCTCAGCTCAGCAAAAAAAAATAAATAAAAAAAGCTTTGATTTGCAAGGCTCGTGTACAAGTGCTACATTTCTAATGTTTAATGCAATTTTATTTTATAAAAAAAATAAAGCAGCAAGAGTGCCTGAAAAGTTCAACATTTGGAAAATTGCTCACTTGCTTTCTTCGTGTCTGTAAGTTGAATATTAAACAGCCAGTTAGACTAGCAAGACTGGAAACATTCAGAAACAGCGCAACTCTTTTCAAAGATGTTTTCAAGATAACAACATCTGCCTCCCTGCACCTCTAAAGCTTATTGAATAACACATTGTGTCTTGATCATTTAAACAGAAGCATTAAACCAGTACTCTGTGGTTTCACTGGGTTTATATGACATGTGAAACCACAATTTATCCTTCTTACACTTTTTTTTTTTGGTGAAAAAATGACATATAACATGAAAATATGTTTCCTTTGTATTAATTCTTGTGTCATGTTTCCAGTCGTTGTGCTTAAATAACAAACTGCTGGCAGTAGCTTCACATTAAGTGATAAAGTAAAGAGTGGTGTCCAACGTCTCTTGTAGCTCTTGGCAAGTTAGCGAATAAGCATATTCCTTATATTCAATATTGAACTCTTCTTTTTAACCAGCACCTTGTTTTGTCAAAAACTGGCCTAATTGTATAAATTGTGTGTTATGTTTTGTTGTTTGTTTTCCATTATTGTTTTTATTCTTGCATAAAGTTGGAGACGAGGAACGACCTGAATGTAATACATGATGTGTGGGCGCACATGATCACACTGATCACATTCCCTGTGATTAACTATGTGTAGACATTTGGAGCAACAGTGAATATTCAGTCAGCTCAATCGACTCTCTGTGCTCTCTGTTAGTGTTAAAGGAGAATGACAGTATATATCAGCCTGGCATGTTCCCCTGATTCAGAGGAACACCTTTTGGTTGACCCAATTACCTTAAATCCCTGCAGGTTTCTAAGTAAAGCTAATTTTTTTTTTACATGAATCATTTTATTAATTTGTTCAAAGCACAGAATTAATTTGTTTATAGCACAGAATTTGTCACCTGGAACAACCATTTTGCTAATGCATCTCTACAACGGAGGTAAAGAGTGCAACATTAGCATGACACTTAAAACCACAAAAGCCACATTAAATGGGAAATATGTCGGCATGAAGTATGGAAGCATTCTTTGATCTATTTCAGCTGAATGCTATGGAGATAATGAAGGGGCTGTGCCCGCCAACTTAAGTCTAATGAATTATGACCTTTGTGTGGCGCCTCAGGCAGAGGAGCTGCACATTGAAATATAGAACGTGTAACAGAAGTTGTTTAAAACACACAAAACCAATCAACAGTCTTTCTTTTAGAAAACAGGTTTTTAGGTCTTCCTTGAATCACAAATCACTAAAACATCACTGCCATGAGACAAGGTGTTTGGCAACTGCTGGGATTTCCCACGGCCCCATGATACAATTCAGTGGACTGTTTTTATGCTTGAGACATAGTTGTGCAGATGTTCAATCGCCGCGGGGAGGATTGATCATGTCCGTATTGCTTGGAAGGCATTTTTGGAGAAATATGCGTGTGGTTTATAATTAAGAGCATTCACTGTCACTCAGTCTGTACGTAAAATAAAAAACAAATATGCAGACAACGTTGTAAGAGGTTTTCTTTTCTTCTGCAACTGATTTTGAAGTCTTTCACTGTGCTGACAAAAGGTTTGATGTTTTTCACAATACGAGCCATTTCAGAACATCCAGAGATCTGTGTTGATTATTTCTTGTCGCCGGGCTTTCATTCCACCAGAGTTCTCCTCTGGTGTGTACGTGCCGTTCTCTGACTCAGCGAGCAACTATGAAAAGTGATGGGAAGACTTCAAGTTTCATTTTCTAAACTGGGTGTGAGGGTTTGAAAGAAATCTGATTAGATTTTTTAAGTGTTTTTTTTGGCACAAAGTGTGATTTTCATAAGCACGCTTGAATGAATAACTGAAACGAGGACCTTCACAATATACTCAAAATGATTTTTTTAATAACTACTGGTTCTGCTTGATGTAGATTTTGGATCGTTTCTTTTCTCTACACCGCTTCCTTTCTAATGACTTTCTGCTAAAGTTTACTGGTTGACTGGATCAGCAATTTTCTATTTTTATTTTTATATTCCTTTTTTAAAAATTCACTGCTCCTTCATAAGATGATGTGGTGGTGCATTGGTTAGATGGTTTGCTGGTTGCCTGGGGGCTTTTTGTGTGGAGTTTGCATGTTCTCCTGTGTCTATGTAAGTTTTCTCCAGATACTCCAGCTTCCTCTCAAAGCCCAAAGAGGTTAATTGGTGATTCTAAAATGGCCACAGGTGTGAGCACGCATGGTTGTTCTTTGTGTTAGTGGATGAGCAATGTACCCCGTTTCTCACCGTCAGCTGAGATACAGGGCCTGTAAGACATGCTCACCCCCTTGAAAGTTTTCCCCTTGTATCGCTTTCCAACACTGACTCATGGTCAATTTGATTCGATTTTAATGCTAAAGTGAGAACAAACGTCTATCAAGGAAAGTCAATTAATTAAAAATGTAAAACAAACTATTGAACAATAGTCACACCCTGTCAAATGAATCATCTCGTTCAACACAGGTGCAACCAGTTGTTGCTTGAAGTCACACAATTAGTGAAATGGAGATCATGTGAGTGCTGTGAAGTGGTTGTAGTATAAAGACACTTGAATCTGGAAGTAGTCAGTACTCGTGACCACAACTGCACCATGAATGCAAGAAAACACTCCAAGCAACTCTGTGAGAAGGCTATTCAGCAGCATAAATGAGGGGATGGGTGCAAAAAAAAAATCTAAGTCACTGAATTTCCTTCAGTACAGTTAAAGCCCTCATTAAAAAATGGAAGTGATACAGCACATGCATGAATCTGCTCAAAGAAGGCTGTTCTTAAAAACTGAGTGTCTGTGCAATAAAAAGACTGTTGAGGGAGGCCACCAATACAGCTATGACTCCTCCAAAGGAGTTAAAGTATTAACAGCTGAGGGGTGCATTCATCAGCTTTTGTCCTGCTTCTTCACCAGTCAAAGCCTGAGAGGAGAGTCTCAACGAGAGCGCCACTGTGGGAAAAAAGGCACATAATAAATCTTGGCTAGAATTTACCAGAAGGCAGGTGGGAGACTCTAAAGTCAAATGGAAGAAGGTGTGATGACACCAAATTTTGGTCAGACTAGACACTTTGTTTGGTGGACACATTACCCCAAACACACCACCCCCACTGTAAAGCATGGTGGTGGCAGCATCAGATGTGGAGACGTTTCCCTGGAGGGCTAGTAAAGACAGAAGGTAAAAGCAGAGTGTACTGACGGACAACCTGATGGCAGACTGCCAGAAAACTGTGACCTGGGAAAAGATTTATTTTCCAAGCATGACAATGTCCTAAAGCGTACAGCCGAAGCTACACAAAGATGTTCTAAAGACAGCAACGAAATGTTCAGGAGTGGCCGAGTGAGAGCCCAGACCTCAGGCCATGTCTACACATAGCCAGGTGTTTACGAAAACTGATCTACGTTTTCAAAAATAACATTGTTCACGCCAAAAAATCTTTGCTGACACGAACCCCCATAAACACGTTGTTAAGAGCTGCTACGAGTATGCCAAACCTACAGGGGGTGGTGTAACAAGAAGCATAAAGCCATGCTAACCAATTAGAATCCTGGAAAACATACAACAACGAATGGCACAAATTACTTCCTGTTACTTCAATGATAATGTTGCTGGGAACATTTGTTGTTTGGACAGACAAAGAAGTGGAGCTACTCCTAAATGTGGTGTTCGAGGCCAAAAGCGTTTGCACAAATGTAAAAACCAGCACTGCTTTTACAGCATCCATTTATGGAGCTTCGCGTTAGTTCAGACAGGCACGGAGTCAGGCGGTCACATGGCCCCTCCTGTCCAATCGTCATCGCTAAAGTCCAGCCCACCCACTTAGTGTGCTTTATAACTGAGGCAGCGTTCATTCATTCTGACCTCTTCACGCTCACCACATCGCTGCTACTCCAGTCTCTGCAGATCATCAAATCTCCTCCTCCTCCCCAACCACCACCTTTTAAAAACAGTTCAATCTCATACAACCCTGGTGTTTCCCATATCGTGGGATTGTAGGTTGCAGATGGTTCATTATTGTACCTTGAACTATGTAATCTAGATTCTGTTAGTGAAGACTATTTAGTTGGTCTCCTGTTCTCGTGTTCATACTGTATTCGAAAAATTGTAAATTGTAAATTCATGGCTCTGCGGGGGGTTTGTGATCTCAGGGATTATCTGTGTCATGCTTGCGCAGATCGTTCCAGAGCATCACGAGCAGAGTCACCGCCAAACTAAATGTATGTGATCTCAAATAAATGGTTATATCTGACAAAGTGTCCTGTCTGAACTATCACAGTAGTCAAACTGTAAATATGGTCGCACACATATGATGCTGATGACCCTGATTCTGTGATGTCAAACTCCGTCTCCTCTTATCTACATGCAAACGTAAAGACAGAGTTTTTCCAAATCTCCACTTTGGCCGTAGTTTTCAGATACCATCGTTTTCAGTGACGTGTAGCTTCATTTACATGTAAACCAAAGGCCCAGATGCATTGTTATATCACCATTTTTGCTATGTGTAAACGGGGCCTCAACAACTAACTGTATTGATCATGATTTAATGTTGAAAAGCAATTAAAAGGGAAAATTTGCAAAGGATGTGAATACTTTTTGTAGGCACTGTAGGACTTTAAAGCTCGAATGACTCCCATCTTCTTGTGTATCCTGTCTGTTGATGATGAATACCTCATAAATCACCATCACCTATTGTCTCTGTTCCTTTTTCTTCCCTACCACACTCGCCTAATAAAAAGGAAAGAAAAAAACAGCAGATGCAATTCACTTGTTGATGTGTCCCACCTCTGTTGTCTGTTGACGTGTTACAAACCACTGCAAGCACAAAGAAAACCCCAATGCCCCATTCTGTTTTAAAGGAAACAAATCTTTTTTCGTTGCCTTCTGACTTTCGTGGATATAAATCAGTTTTTACTACTGTTTTTCTATCTGTATCACTAAAGATCAAGAAAACAAAGACTTTGGTATTTAGTTCTGTATCTGCATGTCTGATTGAGAATTAAGCTATTGTCAGAAAAATTCAGCTTGAGATGAAACTTTTGATACACTTGTAAAGTTGGAAAGCAGTCAAAGGAGGATTTTCCCACCTGGGTTGCACGATGGAAATGATTCATTCTCTCTCTCAGCTTTGTGTGTGTGTGTGGGTGAGTGAATATTGGGTGGATGTCTGGGCGTTAGCCCAAGGAGCATCATGTCAGCCTCAGTCATGTCAGAGCGTGTCTCTTCCTCGCTTTGCTTTAGGCTTTCTGCATTCACGTCTTGAATGTGCTGGAGTCACTTTATTCTCTGTGGTGTCTTTTTTTTTTGTTTTTAAGTGCCTGTAAACGAGCTCATGTGCTCACACTCCAGAGTCTGACACAGCAAAAGATTCAACCAAGATGGTTTTATTTACACCCATACACCCTTATTCTCATCCAAAACGATGGTAACAAGAGAAAAACAGTGCACTGAGATAGACTGAGTATAATTGGTACTGCAGGTTGTGGTATTAGTAAAATAGGTGGGACTGAGGTGTGGCAGGAAATCCAGGGTTTGGTTTGAGGCAATAGGTGCAGGACGGGGCTGATGTTGCTCACTTAGCATGTCAGAGCCTATTTCCTTAGGCCTCTCTTGGTCCTCTTGGATCTGTTGAAAGCAAGGGACAGGTCGTGATTCCGGCACAACTTGTTTGTCCACTTAAAAGACTGAGAATGACCATTTAGCCTACATTTCAGGTTGCAAAATCTTCTACCAGCCTTTCCAAAAAAAATAAGCCAATCAGCACACATTGACATGCTCATTCAAGCGCTGCTAAGTGTGTGTTTGTGTGACAGGTGTGTCAGCTGTCACACCTGTCACACCCAGCCTGGCAGCCATCTTGTCCCGTTAAGACAAGTAACAGAGCCTTGGGGGGACTCCAAGCAAAATGAAAGCGGAGATGTTTTGTGAAGGAAAGAGGGCAGTGTGCTTAAAATGACCTAAATAATAAATATTTCTTGTCTATCAGCTGTCCAGTAGATTAGTCAGCTAATCATTTCAGCTCTAAAGGAGTGAACGGTGTCTGGATGCCTTGAGAAATTGTTATTGCTGTATACTAGTATAATGGGGATAATAAAGGTCCAAGAAAAGAACTATTCGTCTCTGGACTCCCCAGGAGGACAATCTGGGCTTGGCTTTGACAGACACACAAAGAGTTTCTTCAGGTTGCTCAGACAAGTATGCAGTTTTCATGCTGATGTGTTCCTAGTGAACAAACTGAAAGGAAACAGTTGTATAACATCGTCTGTGGCACTACAGGGAGCTCTCTAAAGTCTGAAGACATAACCGCTCGGCTTAGAAACAAGAATTCCTTCACAGAAAGCTTGGCTTTCAAAGATGGGCATTTATCAGGCCGGCTAATGCACTGGAGTCATTTAATTCACTGTGGTGGGTTATTCAACTTGCTATCGAGTTTCCTTGTGGGAAGCGTAGGAGCCATATTTGTGAGGCTTCATTCATACTGGCCACTATTAGTCCAGCTATCTGAACTCTATGATCATTTATGTCTTTCTTGTAAACATCTCTGTCTTTTCTATGTATTTAGTCAGCGAGGGAGCCCAAATCGTCTGTGAGCAGGCGTCTGTGTCACAAGTATGTGTGGCGTTATCCGGTCCTCGAGGGCCGCAATCCTGCAAGTTTTAGATGCTTCCCTCTTCCAACACACCTGATTCAAATGATCAGGATGGTTATCAGGCTTCTGCAGAGCTTGATGATGAGCTGATCATTTGAATCAGGTGTGTTGGAAGAAGGAAACATCTAAAACTTGCAGGATTGCGGCCCTCGAGGACCGGAGTTCGACACTCCTGCATTAGATAAAGGAAGAGATTGTTTTTTTTTCTTACGTTTTCTGATGGTCGCTCACACGGTTTCTCAGCACATTTATCTGGAAGGAAAAACAAACATGCAACTATTACAAAAAATGAGCTCTATTCAAGCCCATTTTCTTACTTCTGTGAAACGCTGCACACACACACCTCATATTTCTGGCTGGTGAGCTGGTACTGCAGTTCAAACTTCTCTGCCTCCAGCTGGTACATCCACTCCCACAGCTCCTTAGCTTTCTCCCTGAGAGACAGACAGAAAAAACACAGTCGTACGATGGCTGTTGTCATAATGATGGATTGTTATCATGACCTCATGTGTACTATGAAGAGAGAAAAGCATTATATTTAGTTTGATGCTACATAATGACGTGGCATTTCTCCACCTACTTCAGTCTGTCCTGACTCAAGTTCTCGACGTCCAGAGATTTGCGTCTCTCATGCAGGATCTTCTTCTTCTTCTCTCTCTCTGTCTGCCTCTTACCGCTCCTTTTCTCCGTCTGAGAAAGTGAATTCGTGGCTCTGTGAATATTGTTTATGTCGTTTAATCGTAGCTTTCTGGATCTACAAGAGCTCCACTTACCAACTTTTGCATGTAACCTCCGAAGTGGAGGCTGGTCAGGGTTTTCTTCTTCTTTGCATCATCCTCTGCCCTCTTCTTGGCCTCCTCCTCCTCCTTACGAGCTCTTTCCTCCTACAGAGACATGGACCCGGAGAGGGAGAGGGCCAAGAATGAAATGTAGGCATCTATGCAAATTAATGAAAGCAGCTTGAACATGATTTTACCTCAAGGCGCTTTTGACGCTCTTTTTCTCGCTCACTGCGGATCCTGTGCTGCTCTGCTCGCTCGGAACGGCGCTTGTCCTGAATAATAGGTCAACACTTGATCATAATATGTCCTGAGGCAGATTTCTGAAAAAGACATTTCAATCTGAAGGGACGTCCTGGTTAAGTAAAGGTTAGGCAAATAAATAAATCATCTTTTTTTTTTTAGACATTTGACAGGCTGTTTTTTTAGTGCACTTACAATCCTGTCTTTGAGATTAATGAGCTCTTCTTCTTCCTTCTTTCTGCTCTCAAAGTGAACCTCTATCAAAGTCTGCAGCTCCATCAAGTCTTTCTCCATCCTCTTCCGATGTATGTCCTACAGAAACAAGGATTCAGTGAGTCTGTGTGTGTGATACTCTTTGTTATGGCAAGACAGAGAATCAGAAGCAATAATCACATTGCTAATTGATGTCTAATTTAAAGGAAGCAGAGAGAAAATTGGGATTATACAGGGTAGAAATAATGGGGACATAAACCTATGCACAGCTAACTACGACAGGTTGAACAGATGTCCTTCTGACCAGAGTGTCTCACTTACATCAAAATCCACCTTCTCTCCATCTGGGATCTTAGGAGGGATGAGGTTTGGCATGATGAATGGCCTGAGCAAAAAATAAATAAAAAAGGAGAGGACTGTGAATGTAAAGGGTTAAATGATATAGGATCATGTAAGAAACGTGGAAAAAAAATTAAAACTGGAAAAGTTGGTTGCAATCCCTGATGCTGTCAAATTAAGCTAAAAAAAAAAAACAATCAGCAGGTGCCAGACAGATGTCCCTTCAGTCTGTTCCCACATGTCTTTGCCTGTGCATGTTGTGAATGCTCCGAAGCAGCTTCTGTATGTGTAGATTTTCCGATGCTCTTTGCTTTGGTATCGTCTTTATTATTTGCAATGGTAATGAATGCAGAAAGAAATGATTAGGTGATCTGCAAATCAGGTTTTCACACAATTCCTACATCTCAAACCCAAGGCTGGAAACAGAGAAAAACGGCAAGTTAGGCCGAGTTAAGATGTCACAACCCCCCCAAAAAAGTTTATTTTGCACTAAATTAATTAAATCTATACAATTATATTGATGTAAAGACTATTTATGTATCTTATTAATTATTTAAAAAGACAATTCACAGTATAGGGCTGCAGGGTGGCGCAGTTGGTAGCACTGTTGCCTCGCAGCAACAAGGTTGCCGGTTCGTTGGGGGCACCGGAATCTTTCTGTGTGGAGTTTGCATGTTCTCCTCGTGCAGCGTGGGTTCTCTCCGGGTTCTCCGGCTTCCTCCCACGAGGTCCAAAAACATGTTGAGGTTAATTGGTGATTCTAAATTGTCCGTAGGTGTGAATGTGAGTGTGCTTGGTTGTCTGTCTCTAAGTGTAGCCCTGTGATAGACTGGGGACCTGTCCAGGGTGTCTCCTGCCTTCACCCTAAGTGGGATAGACTCCAGCCCCCTGTGACCCTCGTGAGGATTAAGCGATGTATAGGTAATGGATGGATGGAATTCACAGTGTAAGTATGTAATGAATGGGAGACCTGTTCAGTGTTTAATCTGCCCCTCAGCCAGTGTCAGCTGTTCTCCAGCCTTATACGACCCTCAACAAGACAACAAAAGTTTGGCTAATGGATGGATAGATGGACTCTATAATAAATGTATTGTTTCAGACAGAGATAACGCCTACTTTCCATCTCTGGTCCCTTGTTGGAGGCCATTTCTTGGTGCTGAAGATTACAAACAAGACTTAACAAACAAGAGGCGAAGCGTTAATTAGAGAGAGGTTTGGCGTAGTAGGATTTATGACGGAGCAAGACTGGCTGTTTCTGTCTTCTGGCTGCTGGCGCTGTGATATAATACCGCGCAAACAACAGAGTGGCATCGGTCGCCTTGTGCAGCTATGAAGAAAGCAAATAAATTGCCAATGTTCATCTCGTTCATTAAAATTGTTTCCAAAACAGCTCTGCAGAACCATAAACACGTGTGTGTGCTCAGGCATGGGCGTTACTCACTTGAATTTGGGTTTGGCCTCCTCCTCTGTTGTGAAAGGAGATAAAAATGGAAAGAAAAGACAAAGATGAGCTGGTCCAGACCACACACAAACACACGTAGTCGCAGAGAACTCACCAGATTATCTAATTAATCTTACCACAAAGCCCCAGCAAGTTTAAACAATGTAGTCTGTGTATGGGCTAATTACATAATTCTGCAGGTTATGGTTGAGGGCATCCAAGAACAACATGATGCAAAGTGCGCAAATATTTATGTCGATTACCTTCTCCCTCCTCCGCTCCTCCTTCTCCATCTGAAACCAAACACAAAAATTGGCAGAATTAGCGACTGCGTGTCAAATGAGCGAGCATTACATCTCAGTAAATAGTAGTGTGTTCGCAGTGGTGACAGGCGAAATGATACGGCAAGACCACTTGAAAAGGGGAGAATAACCGAGATGCTGTTTGCTTATCTATAGTAGTGTGTGTCTGAGAAGTGCAGCGCGCCGTGTAGACTTTGCAGAGGTTAGAGAGGTTGTGTACACAGACAAGTCATGATAATAAGCAGTCTCTTACGGAAGAAGGCATCTGTGACCTCTGAATGACACACCACTAAACATTGTAAACGAATGCCATAAAAACGTCAGTCTGTTTTTCTGTGAAGGATGTTTCATCAACAGGTGTATTTTTTAATTAAAAAAAACAGAATACAGGATGCTAATATTCTCACCGGCTGATGTTTACCAGATGGAATATTTCTCATGTTCACTATTTCATCCTGCGAGTTAGCAGTAAACTTAACATACGGTGGAGGTTGAGCGGAATGCCACTGGTTTTTCAGGTTATTTGGACATCATGGCGCTACGTGAAAAGTCAGAGGATATGCCAAAGTACGTAGGAAAGATTGTCGAGGAACCATGAATGTTTGCTCAAAATGTAGTGCCAAGGAAATGTTTGACCTTCTGGTGACAGTAGAAGAAAAGCAAGAGGATCATGATCATTAGGATTTATCATCTGGGAACCTTGCATATTACCATAAATTCCGGAGTATAAGCCGCTACATTTTCACACACGTTAAACGCTGCGGCTTGAACAATGATGCGGCTAATTAACGGATTTTTACGAGTTTTACAAATTTGCCTCGAGACATAAGTGACATTGAGAGCGACAATGAAAGAGAGACTGAGGAAGTGTGTGACAAAGTGAGGCTGTTCAATTTCAGCACTGAAGAAGATGACTTTAGTGGTTTTAGTGCGCAGGAGGAAGATGAAGATAGCGATCAATGACTTCTCCTGGTGGGCTACTGTATTTTTATTTTTTTAACCAGCTGTGTTACAGGCACTGTTCGGAAAAAAGCATTTACGGTACATATATGTTACCAATACGTATTTAATTAAAAGTTTAAAAAATCTTTCTGGGTAAATATCCCATGTTACATCTGCAGCTTATAGACAAGTGCAGCCTGTATATGTACAAAATTAGTTTTCTTTTTAAAGTTAGTGGGTACGGCTTATATTCAGGTGCGCTCAATAGTCTAGAAATTATGGTAAATATTATCGTAAATCATCCGATGATTGTCAATGAATTGAGAAAGTCGGGGTATCTCCAAATTCAGCAGGATTCATCCCTATGGGTTTGTGCAGAGTTTCATGGAGACTAATCAGGGACTTGTTGAGATATTTCAGTCTGCACCAAAGGGGTCCAGCTAGCCGACAGACCAACTAATCTAAAACTACTCCCACAAGCTTAATTAGCAGTCGATACGTTCACTTTTTCCCATCCGCTGTGTGTGTTCGTGACACATCAGGTGAAAGTCTACAGGCTCCTCACTGGGCGTTTGCTGCTTCAAAGGTATAAATGACACAAAAAGGTGAAACTAAAATCCCTCCCATTTCTTATAACTGGTGACAAGACAGAGATAAAGTCGGAACAGTGCATAATGGCTAACACCTAATTCTGACTAATGAGCGATCGCCTGAGGGCTGGGAGGACTCGGAGGCCTGGGGATTACCACACAAACATCTGCACTTGAACTTCAAGTAACTGCAGACTGTCACATACCAAAGCTAAATGTGACTAAGATAGCAGATCATCTTCCCGTCTGTCTGCGACTGTTGGTTAGGGGTGGAATACATTTAATCATCATCATTTAGTTGTCAACACAAGCCCAGCACCACATTAGGATGTTATCCTGCGGGGTATTCACCGACAAGACGCCTGTCAAGGGCCGTCAACCTGACATCAGTGTTTCCACTCTTGAAACCGCTCACCTAGGTCTTCGTTGGCCTCTTCCTCTGCAGCAGGGTTGTCTTCCTCTTGAGCGACCTCTGGTACAGAAGCAAAGATTTGATACATCAGTGAGACATCTCGACTGTCGCGGGGTGTGATAGTGACTCATTCCTCTAATGGAAAAATCGCTCCCCTTTGTCAGTGACCTGGCGTTATTCATAAGTTGATGGTGAAAGACATGAGATGAGATTAAAAAAATGAGGACAGCAGCTAAACCCAGTTGAATGTTTTGTTTTCTGTCAAATCCTACACGTTTGCACATTCCGCATCCACATCGTATGTTAGTTTGGTTGTTTGGATGGACTCCGTGCTGCAGACTGAAATGTACAAGAGTCTGTACAAACACTACAGACGGAGAGAGCAGAACAATAACAGGAGATAGTTTCTAAATGATCTACCCACCTCTGGTATTCAAAGCCGATAGCACTGAAGAGCTGCTGAAGTGCTGCGTCCTTGTGTATGTGTGTGTGTGTTTGGGAACAGATAGCAGGGATGAAAGCAAACTTTCTCAACCGAGGCTCGAGACTCTTCAAAACAACGTGATGAAGCATTAAAACGCATCAACAATTTGCAGAGTAGTGTTTGGTCAGTTTTGGGGGAACCTTGAGATCTCCGAAACTAAGAAGTGAGCAAAGTTCTAAACACAGACTTTATCATCGGGAGGTACTTTCTGAAATGTTTAAATTACTGACAACAAATATAGACTGACTTTGTGAGTTCAGACATTTGTTTGGCCATTTGGTGGCTTTCAGTTGTTGTCGAGGGAGATTAAGGACAGGCATGTGTAAGACAAAAAAATGACCTTACTAGTCGTCATGCAGAAATGCATGCATAGATAGAAATAAATTAATCACCCTAAAAGAGCATAGTAATTCATTCATTCATTCAGCTCGCATTGGAGTAAACTTGGTACCACCTAACTTGTTAACATATGGACAGAAATATGTAAATAAATAAAATCATAAAGAAATATATCAATGCAAAAACTAAATTAACCCATTTAAATAAAACATTTAAAATCCATGAACAAAGTAAAAATGTACATGTTCAAATATAAGTAGATATAGGTTCTCCCTTTTTATACATTTTTTATTTTTTACTTCAACTTTATCACTTATTAGTCATCTTTCCTCTTATGCACATAAATATTATATATATATATGTGTGTGTGTGTGTGTGTCCTGAGACATTACAACCTAGCTCTGATATGTTAGGATTTTATTTTATTTTTTTCAATATTTGAAATCAATTTTTTGTTTAGCTATTTCAAGATTTTTTTATTTTTTATTTTTTTTGCCTGGTTGTGAAACAGTTTATGATTGAAGAGGGGGAGAAACAAAAAACAACACTTGGTGATTTCCGGTTGCATGTCAGATACATCAGCCTGATACTTGCTATCTATGGAGTATCTCTAAAAATACTTTTAGCCCAAAGCTCAAGCAGTACCTTCCTCTGCCTGCTCCTCCTCCTCTACCTCCTGCTCTCCTGATGAGCAAAGCACAGGACGAGTTAGAAAGAAAGAAAGAAAGAAAGAAAGAAAGAAAGAAAGAAAGAAAGAAAGAAAGAAAGAAAGAACGAGATCAAACACAAATAATCAGTGAGTGTAAGTCACAGCTACGGTATTTTAACCACAAGCACGATGACTCTCATCCCTCCACCTGCTGCTCCGGGAAACGACATTTGTTATGTCCAACTGCAACATGACTAATATTCATCCATCCATGACCTTGAATTTCCTTTATAAATGTCAGAACTTAAGCAGTACATACCTTCAGCAGCCTCCTCTTCAGAGTCACACAGCCAGGAGAATACAAAAAGAAGAAATTTACATATTTTTTCACATAATGAGACATGCTGGTTTAAAGCAGCACATGTTACATCCAGCTACATTTGAGACAATCCCAAAGAAAGAGTGAATAATAAATAACTTTTACATGCAGTGTTTCTTTCCTACTATAGGTTCGGTTTTTGGCACGGACATACTTTGTGCTTCATTTCAGAACAGCATCAAAAACATGACTCACATTAATTATATATTTCCGTCAATTACTTATTTACATTCTGCGTACAATCGGACTTATTCGTCCCTACCTACAGCTATAAAAACCTGCTTGGCAAACAGGCTGAACATCCATTTTAAATGCATGTAACAGTACATTAAGTATATATTAAAGTACAATTAGATTTGTTATATTAAGCTCACTGGATTACTGAGAAAACACTTGCTAAAACAACACGGCTTCAACTGTCAGCGCCGTACTGTGTGTGGTGAGTCACGGTGTCAGTTCTTACCTTCCACCTCCCTGTGAAAGTCAAACATGCGAGCAGATTACTATTGTGAGCAAAAACACATGTCACCGCATTACAATGATGTATGGCTGTTATATCAGCAGGTGGAAAGAAACTACAACATGTCTGCACTATGATGAGTTGCATGTTAAGACAGAAATTTCCACCTACTCCTCATATTCCTCCACCGCTTCCTCGTTGTCTGACATGGCGGGGTGCGTTCAGGTGTGCAGCAGGGAATCTGAGCATTAAACACAGACTCCATAAATTCATCTACAACTTCCCCATGACTCATTAACAGCTACGATATCATACAGACCGTGCTTCAGTTTCACAAGGTCGTAAGCTTACCTGAGGTAAAGAGCCAGAGGAAAAGAAAGATTCAATGTGCAGCAGAGGAGAGGTCGTCCCTCTCGTGGGCGTCAGAGGGTCAAGAAACAGACTGTGTTGTGGGGAAGATGCTTTAGGACCCCCTTGTTGTGTTATTAATAACTTTTTAGATAGCATGTACTCGCCGTTATCACCATTCCCTAAAAAGGCCGCCGTGTGCACGACTGTGGGTCGCAGTGCCAAAAAGATCCGGATAAAGCCACAGTTGCTCACAGACAATGATTCACACACTCGTGCAGGCATTCCCTCGGCCTTGTATGGCACCCCGCCGTTGACAAAACACAGACACGCAACTCTTATCTGCAACCTCTACGCTGAAGAATGCGTACACTCATTAAAGAACCAGACACTGCTACAATAAATTTGCGGCAGACGTTTGTAAAATGTAAAACATTTTATTCCTTAGACAGGCAGAATCTTGTCCACAAGTCCAGATAAAACACAAAAATTATTTTTTTGGCAGATTAGATAAAACATACAATTACAGCGTTCCCAGTTTAATAAACAAAGACATCATTAGCTCACAAGACCTTCACCGTTTTAAAGTGCTTGAAAAAATTACACAGATGCAAACACATGAAAAGGTTTTTCCTTTTTTTAAACAAAAGAAATTCCACCACCCTTTCCCTTTTTTCTCCCACTTTTCTCTTCCTCTCATGTCCACATTCCTTTTTCACTCCTTCCCTCGCCCGAACTTTAAACGTCTCTCTCTTGTATTTCAGTGTTTGAAACAAGACAAATTTATCCTAAGAGAAGCATAAGTGTATGATAGAAGCCTCCTAACTTTAAAAGCAGTGTCCTCCGTTTCAGTCCTCTAAATCTACAACCCAACACACTTCTTTCCTGGGTGACTCCTGCTGGTTCCTCTTGTGTACTTTAGCAGTGAAGAAAAAAAAAAAAAAACTTGAAGAAAAATAAAATCAGTCAGTCATGGCATCCATTAATCTTCCCTATCTCTGCCTCTCCTCCTGCTGTATGTGAAAACCTACAAACACATGCACAGAAAGGGAAGAAATGAATACTGGAGAAATACTTTTCTTCAGATTTGTGTCATTTCGGGGGTTTGTAGCAAACTGTTCCCGTAAGCACGTGTTGCTGCTTTACACAATATGGAGCAGTGTTCTTACCGGTTGAGCATTATCAATGATCGTGCTTCACTTGAAGGTTTTTCCGGGGCTGACTTTTGAGACACCGTCCTCCCCCCTGTTCTCAAACAAGCTCCTCTTACTATTGATGTCCACGTGTCTCAAGTCCTACAAACAGAAAATCGTGAGAGAATAATCTGAGAAAAAACTACTACTGTGTCAGATGCATTTCTCTTTAAAGAATGATGACCAAACACATCGTATTTTTGTCAGAGATGACTTTGTCCCTGCAGCCAAGAATACCTTGCTGTCAGAGCTAACAGCGACCCACACAGACATGTCATGGAACGCTTTTTGAACATATGGATTAACCTTTGAACACATCCTCTGAGGTTTAGTCAACCTGTCACGCAGCTACAGCAAGTCAATCATTCCTCACAGACTTAATGAAGAATGACTGTTTCTTTTGGAGTAAACATACTGATATTAGCTATGAATTCGAGTCATAGATAATACAATAGTTCCTTGAAATAAAGAAGAAAACTTATTTTCAGAGACAAATTTAATCTGAATTGGTTTGCTCAGGGCTAACTGTCCACCATCCCCGTGCACAAACAATGAAAACAATTTGACCTCTTGTGACCTCTTTTCACCTCCTTGCCGACACAATGACCACCAAAACTATTCAAATGTTTAGCAGCAGGAACAGCAAACTCCACCCTGTTCATCCAGGATGTACAGCTGAAAGAGTACTGCTGCCCCCTGGCTGTCAGATGGTATTTCTCATCGTGCCATCGATGCAGAATCTGCAGTATTGGATAAGTAGATCAGGTATTCTCTGATTATGGGTAAGATTATGATTGCATGGCACAATGAGAAGTAACAGAGAAAGTTTCAGGCTTTTATCTTAAAATTTCTTGAGATATTCTTATTCAATCATGGCCTGAAATCTGAATGTGCGGAAGTTGTTCAACGGGCAATTAAAAAAACAACAACAAAAACTAGGATTATATTAAGTTATCGAAGTAAAATTTCTTAAACATCCATGTCCTTAAACGTCCGTTTTTTATGTTATAAAAAATATCAGGAAAATCAGTCGATCTAAAATCTAAAAACCGATGATTTGAGACAGATTGACCCACTTGTATAACTTTTTATGTGACAGCTTTAGCAGAGACGTGACAACACAGGTAGCCTGATTAAAGGGTGACCTTACAGTGGGACCGTGTGCAGACCCTGTTTGGTGGGTCTTGTTGATCCAGCGGTTGATCCGGTCGGACATTCCTGATGTGAAGCTCCTAAACTCCTGATAACAGCAGAGATGTGAACAAACAATTTGTTAATTAAGGACACAGGTTCCTCTGATACAGAACTAAAACGTGGACCGTGAGTGATGAATATACCTGTCTGGAAACTCCCGGACTGGTGGGATTCTGTGCCGCCTGCTCCTTCTCAAAGAGGCCTCTCTTCCTGGACACCTCGTCCAGCAGGAATAGGGTTCTCTGGGTCACGTCTGGAGATCGCATCGGTTCTGACTTCTGTCAACGTACAAGCGGCACAATTGAGAGAAAACTATTGACAGTTGATGTAGACTAGAGTAAAAAATATGAGTAAATTCTGGGATAAAATTCTGACCTGTGCAGCCTGAGCCAGTCTCTCCATCTTCTCTTGGATGGATCTGGATGAAACCCTCTGCTTGGAGCTGGAGACACAGAATCCATACATGCATTTGTCCAGCTGTAGTCAATGATGAAAACTACAACGACTAAAACATGCAGAGAGGAGAAATCGAAACAAACAAACACACAAACTCACCCTCTCTGGAAAGATGACGCTTTGTCTTCATCTTCATTTTGGTCCTAAATCAAACCCAAAGAGAACATAGATGCTATAATTTATCTGTGCACATTTTCTTTTTCCAATAATCCTCCAGTTCCGTCTGTCGTCATGTCACACAGCTGATATGGAAAGAACATCTCTCTGTTCGAGGTGCAGTCAAGAATCAAGAAATTTTTCCGTATCATCTCGTTAAAGTAAAACACTTTGCAATAGCAGCTTCAACAAGTGTACAAAATAATCAATTTATTTTACATCAGATAAAAATAGTTGTCATCTTACTGTATTGGGTTCAAACTTCTTGGAGGCCATCCTCATACTCGCACTACAACAGAATAAACCAGTCGGCAGTCAAACCCTGGTTACAGATACAAAGAGCCTCAAAACAAAGACAAGCATGCATCCTCACCTCCTCTGCAGCGGTGAAGTCTCCTCTTCTTTCTTTCTCATCATCTGTGGGAGAACAAGCCCGTGTGAGTGTGTGTGTTAGCAGTCCTTTACAGTTGCCCGAATGTCAGCAGACCTGCAACATCATCCTCTCTCCTGTGATGCGTCGGGGTGTTAACGAAGCAACCAGTAGCGGCAAAGCTGGTGAATATTACCTCACATATTAACATAAAGTCCAAAGCTTGAGTGCCACAAGCAAATTCTCCTGAGCTGATAGTCTCGACAGCTGATGCAAGATTAAATCGTGTTTTAACAGTCAAATAGGCTCAAGTTAATGTTGGCGTTGAACAGAGAGAATGTGTGCATGCATGTGTGTGTGTGTGTGTGTGTGTGTGTGTGTGTTTACCCTGAAAGATACAGTCCTGGAGCTCTGTTTGATAAAGGCAGGTTTGGCCGTCGGTTCAAAGTTTCCATTGGTGGGGTGCTGCGATAAAGTGAAAAGAACTTAAGTTTCCTGCTGCATAGAATCAGCGTTAATCCTTCCCACTCAGACTTCAAATTAGCTCCAATGACCATCTCTTGTGCCCTTCAGGACTGATTATTTTATGCCCTGGAGCCACTGACAGTTTGTGTTTTACTGGCACACAGAGATAGTTGCTTTTTCTCCTGTAACACTAGAGGATGCTGTTTCCTTTACTGGACTGATGAATAATGCTGCATCAGCACTTTAGCAGTCCAATTCTGTTTGACGAGCAAAACATGAGGTAATTATGTCGTAAATTATGCAATCAGACGGTGTGTTTACCTTCGCGTGTCCGTTCTGAAGAACGCTTTTAACTACCCGAGGACTCTGGCAGGGTGAAGGCCAACGTTCTTGCGGTGACCCGGGCGTCGTCGGAGAGCGTGGGCTCATGGGAGACGAGCACCCGCTGATGGACGGGCTCTTGTCGAGTGAGATGGAGACAGAACTGCAAGGCCAGAAAGATGAATGAACTTAAAGATAAGTTGAAAATACATGAGAAAACAATGCGTGATCCAATGAAAATACTAAATATTGTATGAAAGATACTTGGATTGTGTGTCTGTGATGACAAAACTGCATCATCAGACTGACAAACACATAACAGTGAGTTACATATCTCCTGAGTCCATCTGCCCTATTAAGTTCACATGAGAATAATGAAACAAAAGTTGGATAGGAGGGGCCGGAGTCATGCTTTGAATGAATAAAATGATGCAATAGAGAGCTTGTTTTCATTCAGAAAGAAGCCAGAGGGACAGGCTGCCTTGTATTATCTGAGCAAACTTGAACACAATTTTCCTCAACTATGAAACCAGCTGAGCTTAATCAGGCCCTAAATATTCTGTATCATAATTTAGGTTCTGAAACGAAGCCATTTTAAGCCTTTATGTTGGTAATAGCCTGGTTGCTATTTTACCTAACTACCCTACACTGCCCTTTCATTCTGCTGCTTTTGTCTCCCTGCGTTGAATCAATAACCTTTATCTTATCTTAATAAAACATTGCATCTCTGCCTGATCCTTCCTGACGGCTATTCTACAAAGACAACAACAGAACAAAAACAGTCGTCGTTAACCTGACAAACTTGCGGGTCGGGGTGGATGACGGTTTAGGATCAGGGTCTTTACCCGACGACTCTCCGTTTTCATGCTAACAAAGAAAGAGAGAAAATCAAAATGAGCGCACATGTACACACACACACAACACACACAACACACACAACACACAAGCTTTTGTACTGAGACACACCTTGCATTACATAACACTGCGCGGTTATGGCCTCATTTGGAGATACATTGAATTCGAGCTGGCTGCAAGCGTAATAAAAGATAAAGTTCGAATTATGACCTTAAGCACACCTTATCAAGGTTTTAGAGATGATTTGCATGGCCACTGGATTCACAGGAAGAGTCCAAGACAGGACATGAATATTCCCAAAGTTTTTTTTCCCCCCCTATTTCCTCTAACTGTATCTGAACTTCTAGGTTATTCTAACTCTTGTAGTAGTGTGTTTGAGCATCATACTGTTAACATGTTTCCCTGAGCAGGAGAAGAGCGTTCCTTTTTATTGTTGTAGGATCTGGATAATGATTAACTCTCCCTCTGCGTGGGGTAGCAGTTAACTTTACTGCAGGGTGACACTTTTTCGTTGTGACTTCGTAAAGTTTTAATTGTTTAGGAGTTAGTTTTGGTTTGTCTGGCGTTTGTCTACCTGCCAAAGGACTTGTCTGTCAGTAAACGGAGCTGATGGGTCGTCATTTTCAGCTGGCAGGGATGTCGGCGTGTGAGCCGATCCACTAATTTGGAAATATCTTATCTCCCGTTCGCATTCCCCAGAGGATGCATCGCTGTGACTTTGGTTATTTTCCTTTCGCACCACCACTAAGGTTTCAACTGCATTGACATATTTCAACATCTGCTGCATTATTTGGCACAGAGTAGCGTCAAATGCTCACATCATAACTCCAATAGGTTTGAAATTTACATTTTTTTCCGCTATAATTAAAATAAGTAAATAAGTGGCTCCCATCTTACTTGTCTGTTTGTGATGTTAACTCTGGTTTTGCTGCTGCTGCTGATGGTGGCACTGCTGGCTGGTTTTACAGGTGATTGTGTTTTGACCGTGTTGCTGCCCCGCTCCTCATCCACGTCTCCCAGTATCTCCAGCCTGGCACCTCCTCCTCTGCCGGCCTCTCCTTCATCCTTCTCTTCCTCCTCCTTCTGTCGTCTCAACGTCTCCACGTGCCTCATCCTCCGCTTTTCGTCACGCACTCGCAGCATCTCCACAAAGTCCACCTGCATCTGCTCCACGCTAGCAACAAACCACACATGCACACATGTTCATGTCTGGTACGAATGATGGATCGTCTTGAGACTGAGGCGAAACAAATCTGTCAGTGTGGTCAGGTTACTCTAATGAAAGGCTCTATAGTTTCTCTCTCTTTCTTTGAAGGCTGCTTTTGCTTCAGCTGTTGGTGTTTTTGACAGCTTTTCATACTTTCCATGCATGGTATCAGGTGTTTTCATGTGTTTGAAAAGAATACAGGTGACACACCCCCATGGGGCAGAACTGTAAGAATCATCTCTGTGTGTATTTGAAATCCAACCACTAAACCGGTGCACAATCAAAGAAAATTGATCTTACACTGCTTTTTTTTGTTTGTTTGTTTTTAGCAATCAATGGTTCCAATCTTACATGCCAGAAACTAAAAGAAAGAGAGAATGCAGCAGATAAGTAAGATCATTTTCAAACAGTTTATAAATCAAGCCTCAACAAGCAGAACTCAACAATTATTTTTTTTACTAGACTGTGAGAACAACCTGCTGAGGCCCTGGGACGTCTCACTGGAGGAGTCCGTCACAGTGGTGCTGTCGCTTGTGGGTGCGCTTCTCTGCGTTGGACTCAAGTCAGAATCTGGGTCGGCGCTGGTCGAGCTCTTCACCCTCCTCCTCTTCTCCCTCTCGACCTCCTCCTCGTCCTCCATCGTCCACTGACGAGCGAGGCTGAGGGAACAGTCACAACGCAAGCGAGAGACGTTCTAAGCAACGAACATGGTTGTAAAACAGAAAATGAAACAGAGGCAGAAACAAGACCTGACAAGATACACGTGGTAAACATTCATTAACGGCTTCCCGGCCATCTGCTTGTCATTAAACCTAAACAAATGAGTCAAATCATCTGCTTGTTTTGGTTGTTGGAAAGGGGATGTTGAAGCTGTCATAACCGTTACACAGAACCTGCTTTACTTGTTAATCGACTTTCATATCAGCAAAGTCAGGGTTGTTTTTCTGTCTAAGCCAATTTAAGTAACCCATTTGCATGTTTGTAGAACACACATCATTTATTAGTGTATTGTGACGGCAGTTACAGACCAGCGGAAAGCTGATCTCTCAACTGGACAAACACAAACTATATTGAGGAGTAAAAGGGTGCAAAAATGATCTTGGGGCTTTAATTTGCAAAAGACAGAAGCCCCTGTAATACTAACATGGGCACAGAAGGAAACAGAAAAGAGCACAACTGTACACTCCCTCAGGTCCTTACCACAGATTTCCTAAATGACACGCTGCAAGTGAGTGAAGCAAGAAATCTGCTTTCTATGCTACAGAAAAGTGCCAAAATAATCTTACCTGGACAAAGCTGACCAGTTTTTCCGATTGATGGACATATTTGGGAGAAGGGGGGGAAGAAAATAAAAGAAGCTTCCAGGTGCACTTCACTCACAGAGTCGACTGACTGATACTCTGAGGGCGGCAGTCAAATTACAGTCAGTTGCGGCACAAAGCAGTCACCTTTACCCCGCTGCAGCTTGCTGAGGTGTCACATGACCGCCAAGGTAAGCTTCCCACCTGACTGACGGAAAGAAGGTGGAGGGGAGAGAGAGCAGGGAGCGAGAGAGAGCTTCTCCTTCTATGGTAGAAGTGTGGCTGATGTGATAGCTGGTACTAGTTTGTGAACGATTTATGCTCTGGGATTCAAGAGAAGAAAAACTAAGCTTACTTGGGCAATTATAGGTGACACATTATTATTATTATTATTGTTGTTGTTGTGTATTTCAGACTATTTCCATCATACACCAACAACAAAGAATGAGTAAGACAAGTAGACCAGGAAATAATAACCAATATAATACGAGTCTGTGTTCATTTTATTAGTAGTAACAGAGTCATTACTCATGTAAAATTAAGAAAAAACTAAATTCGTCAATTTTGCACACTTAAAAAGAAGGTGCAAAGTATTTAACCACAAATTACCCGACTAACAGGACGGTAACAGGAAAATAACTGGCGTCAGAAAAGATTTTGTTGTCTAGAAAATGCTACCTATTGAGTAGGACGATCCAACTGTAAACGGAAAAGTGTGTTTATAACTATGCATGTCCAACTGATGCCTTGAGGCACTGGCCAGTGAGCCTTCTTACAGTGTGAGTCAATCTGTTTGCTATAAGGCCACACCTTTCTGTGAAGCCCAGTGTGTGTTGGACTCTGACCCAGGCCCAGGCCCAGGCCCAGTCCAAAACACACAGTTACACTCCCTTCACCTCACCTGGCTTTACAGAACACCTGCACCAGCTGTATTCTGTGCCAAGTGCGAGCCCGCGATAAACTCTGTAAGCTACTATCATGATGACTGATAACTGAAGCACCGCGCTTGTTGCCTTTTCTGACGCTTCCTTCTTTTGTGTGTGCAAACATGACACTTCTTCGCTCATATTTGGAGAAGGCTGTCTTATAGCATGCACCATTAAAATACTATCTGATTAAACTAGTTTGCATGTCACTCCCTGGACAAAGAAGCATGCACCAGTGTATCATCTAAAACAGTGACGACCAAACGTTGTGTGACTGTGTGCTTGTATAAGCGTGTCCCTTTCGACGTTGAAATGTTTTATTGAGCCTTAGTCTAACATTAGCCTTAACATTATTAGGAATGACCTGATCTCATAAGTGGAAGTCAAACACAGACATTCACACAACAGAAGTTTTATTTGCTGACACATGACAAATGCTGGCTAAAAAGCAATTAAAAAAAAAAAAAAAAAAGTGCAAAAGCAGAGTGTGCTTTATGAGCATGCAAAACAGGCAGCGGTCAACGAGAACTGTTTTACAGCTGTGGAAATGATGCTCTCCTGATAGCTGCCATATAAGCACATGGCATTGACCCCCCCTTGGAATATTTCCCCTTTTATGACTTTTTAATATTAAATCATGGTCAATATAATTTGGCTTTTTTTGACTAGAATTTACCCCACAAAAAAAGACTCTTTCATGTTAAACATTTCTATAAAGTACTGTCAGATAATTGGAAAATATAAAATGCAAAATAAATAATCCCATAAGTATTCACAGTGTGAGTGTGTTTGGTTGTCAGTTTCATATTTCCAGCGCTCTTCCAGACACACACAGACACCCCTCTCATCACCTGCTGACACACACCTTGAAACATGACACAGATGACCTGCTCCCTCACACAGCCTGGACACTGTCATGTTGCACTTTTTTTCATTTTAGAATATCTACATTTATATTTGGGTATGGGCTGCAAGGTGGCGCAGTTGGTTAGCACTTCACAGCAAGAAGGTTGCCGGTTCGCGTCCCAGTGGGGGCACCGGAATCTTTCTGCGTGGAGTTTGCATGTTCTCCCCGTGCAGCGTGGGTTCTCTCCGGGTTCTCCGGCTTCCTCCCACACAGTCCAAAAACATGTTGAGGTTAATTGGTGATTCTAAATTGTCTGTAGGTGTGAATGTGAGTGTGCTTGGTTGTCTGTCTCTAAGTGTAGCCCTGTGATAGACTGGGGACCTGTCCAGGGTGTCCCCTGCCTTCACCCTGAGTCGGCTGGGATAGACTCCTGCCCCCCACGACCCTAGTGAGGATTAAGCGATGTATAGATAATGGATGGATGGATATTTGGGTATTATTTATGTTTATATTTTCTTATTTGTGTTTGTACTTGGTTGTCGGAGGTCTATTTATGCCATTTTTCTTTCACTATAAGCCGAGACTTCCGACTGTAATTTCGTTGTGTGTATGGAAGCGTACGCATAATGACAATAAAAAGGATTGTGGTTCTAATTCTGTGTGTAGTCCTGCGATAGACTGGCCACCTGTCCAGGGGGTACTCTGCCTTCACCCTAATTCAGCTGGGATAGGCCCCAGCCCCCTTGCGACCCCTACAGAGGATAAAGTTGCGTATAGATAATGGATGAATTGATAAGTGTTCACCCCCTTTAAAGTGACTCACCTAATTCAACACAGGAGTACAGTTAAATCCATCATTAAGGAATATGGCACATGCGTGAATCTGCCTAGAACGGGCCGTCCTAATAAACAGAGTGACCAAACAAGAAACAGACGAGTGAGGGAGGCCACCAAGACATCTATGACTCATCTGAAGGAGTTACAAGCTTCAGTGTGTCGCCTGTGTGTAATTGGGACACACTCATCTGTCGTAGTATATGACTGTCACTGTTTGTAGTGTGAAATGAGCTGTGCTCTGTTTCTGCGCTCTCAGTGGCTCTAGCTTCTTAATACCTAAGTGAGTCACCACAACGTATGTGACATAACTGTGCAGAGGACAAAGGGTCAGAATGGATAGGAAAGCCTGATGGGTAAAATTGCAGTATCTAGATGTTCAAGGCTGATTGAGATCTATCCACACAACCGCAAAGCTGCAATTAAGCCAAAGGTGCATCTACTAAATAATGACTTGTCAGTGGGGAATACTTATGCAATTTCCCCCTATGGGAAACAATAAAGTATTATCTTATCTTATCTGAATTGTTTTACGTTCTATATTTTTATTTAATGGACAGCATTTGAAAAACTTAGACATGAACGAGTCTTTTTTTTTGTCAATTCCTGTCAAAAAAGCCACACAGGTTGACCACAATTTAATGCTGAAGACCAATTAAAGGGAAAAAAATGACAACGGGGGTCAATGCACAGCTCAACACACAACTCTGCTTCAGAAGTGTCTCTGCATGAAAGGTATCATGGATTTCTAGGTTTATTCTATTAGTATGTTCCTGTAACATCCTTCTGATAACAGTGTAGAGCCATGCTCGTAGCTCTGAGAGACTGTGCTGCTTTGAGCTCAGGAGTAACATTAAATTATACCCTTGCATGTTCTCCCCGTGCAGCGTGGGTTCTCTCCGGGTTCTCCGGCTTCCTCCCACACAGTCCAGAAAACATGTTGAGGTTAATTGGTGATTCTAAATTGTCTGTAGGTGTGAATGTGAGTGTGCTTGGTTGTCTGTCTCTAAGTGTAGCCCTGTGATAGACTGGTGACCTGTCCAGGGTGTCGCCTGCCTTCACCCTAAGTCGGCTGGGATAGACTCCAGCCCCCCACAACCCGAGTGAGGATTAAGCGGTGTATAGATAATGGATGGGATGGATGGTGAAAAGCACATGGCACTTAACTTTAATTACTGCAACTATTGCTCTGTTGTGGCATGTCTTGTACAGTTTTGTAAAGTTAAAAAAAAACTTGTAAATAAAGTATTGAAAAAAAAATCACATGACACTTAAATTAATTCTGTAAGCTACTTTAACAGCTGTGACTGAACAAATTGACTTTTGAACTTTTGAAAAGTAAAGTTCATTTTTAATAGTGGTTGGTCTTTTTGCCACAAGAATCCACGCATATTATCTCAGCTACCAAACTGTATCATCTGTATATTTGTTTCATGTTGTTACGGCCCATGGTGTTTGTGCCGTTTTGGACTTGTGACCGCTGTGTGTGGAGATGATCTGTGTAGGCCCAGCTGTGATTGGCTGAGCACTTGCTCCAGGACACCAGCTGCCAGTCATCTCAGCTAATTAGCCTGGAGCTGAAGACCTGCACTCCGGCCCTTGTTCTCCCCGCCTCCGGTCACATCGGATTGGACCTCCTCCACCCCAGCGATCACCACACCTGGCTATAAAAGCGACCAGCAACCTGTCAGTTGGGGCTGGCTGGGCTTTAGTGTGAACAGTCAGTCCTGGAACCGCTCGCTTTGTGTGTTTGTGTTCTGTGAAATGTAACTTCTGTTGGCAGCTGCTAACTCAGTGTGGGAGTTTTCGTGTGAGCCTCAGTGGAGACTCCTGTTAGCAGCTGCACACCTTCGCAAAGAAGTTACTCGTGTCCTGTGTTTTCATATTCTGTGTTTTGCGGCACCAGTTTGTTTTAGTTTCTTTCTTTATGTGTGGATGTTGCACAGTTTAGTTTAGTTTTGTTTGCTGGCTTCGTTACTCCGTTAGTCTTCGTTCGATTATGTTTGGTTCTTTGATTTGTAGCAACATCCACCCTCTGCTTTTGTATGTCACTGTTCTGTTATGTTCATTTACTGATCAATAAATTGCTTTGCCTGAACCAAACTTCAAACTTTCTTGGCGATCACTTTCAGTCTGACTTCTAGAGATGTTGAACTTTGGAAGTCAATAGTGGCATATTCATAGATTTAGGATTTTATCAAGAACAACAAAGGACTACAAGAGATTGAATTTAGAAGTTAAACCATTTAATAAAACCTTCTTTGGTGGAAAAAAAAATGTCAGACACACATAATTTCAAGCATTTCACAAGTCTTCAAATATGGAGGCCATTAATAAATCCAGTAAATATTCACTAAGCACAATGTTTTTTTTCTTTTTTTATTGTTGTTTCAGTTCTCATGTTAATCCAGCTGATGAAGCGTACAACATTTTGTTACGGGTCACAAATCCACAGCACAGAGTTACAGTTTATCCCCAAGCAAGAATATAAAATATACAGTTTATATCCTAATTTGATGGAACAGTATCCACATGAGATTTTTTTTTATTTATTTTGACATTTCTGTACAAATTCTGTACAAATATAGGCCAGAATGTCTGGTGTTTATGCGCAATATCAGTTATGAGAACAATACAAATAATTCAGATATGGCAAAGACAAGAGCAGAAACCCTTCAGGAGAGTGGGGACATCTTCTCACCTCCATGGCAGGAGCATACCCAAGAATGACAGCACCAAACAAAAAGCTGCAAAAGGCGATGAAAAGAAGATGTAGTGGAGTGCTGGTGGTGCACATGACAGCAGTCGCCCTTCTGTCTTTACTGTGCAGAACCTTTAGCGGCATCGAACATCTTCTTCCTTCCCTCCATCCCTGACATGGCCTCCACATTCTTCCTCCAGTCGCTGTCCTCCACTGGCCTCTTCTGCAGACAGATAAAGCAGACAGTTTAATGCTGCAGGAGACGGTATGAAAGAATGGGAACAGTTTTTATTGCTTTGTTTCTCAAGTCGGCTGCAAACTAGAACAGGTTCAAATTGTTGCGTCTAAGCCTTCGAGGCCCCTGCTTATCCAATGGGAATCCCCTGGAGGAACACTGTAAAACTGTACTGGTAAAACTGGTTTATGTAATACGGTTGGAGAGGCACACATCCATGCGAGCAAACACACAGATACACAAGAGAAACGGCCAATCTGCACATGTGCACGCATACATGAAACAGTGAGCAGAGCTGGTCACAAAAGCTACTCTTCTGCGTACAATGGGATCATTGTCTTGGGCACCAAACCTGCTCCCACACAGAGACGATCCCCACCCTGCATTGGCCTAATACTCGATATCTCAAACACACCTTTCACACACACATAAATGCCGTTTTCAGGTGTTCCATGGCATTTTAAACCCTGACGTCATGCGTGTATCTGAAACTTAACAGCAGCTACATGCACGCCTGCGCCCTGAGGAAGGGCTCACGTCTTGCTTTGGGTTAGTTTGCTCGTGATCCCTGCGTAAATGTACAAGTGTCTTTTCTCTGTTTTTCTATCTGCACACACCTTCTCAGTGTCCTCTTTCTTGACAGACTTGAGATTGGCTCGGAGGTCCATGGAGACTTTGTGTTTGGAGCCCAGCAGCGAGCGAAGGATGGCGTCAGCAGACACCCGAACACGCCGTAGATTAGGCCTCTTAAATTTCCCCCTGAGGTCCAAAACCTTGATGTTCAGGTCTTTAATCTAGTCCAGGGACAGAAAATTGAAAGTTTCTCATGCATTCCCATGTACAATCTATGGGATTTCATATAAAAAAAATATATTAAGATTTCTTTTTCTGCTCATAACAAATGAAAAAAGGTCGGGAAAATAAAGTTTAGCTACCTCGCGTGTGTTGAGCATGACCTTGGCTTCAATGTCATACCGCTCTTCATCAACCACATCTACCTTGGCGTGGAGCTCTCTGCAGAGGTCCTATATATACATAAATAGAGACAGAAAAAAGCTGAAACTTAAAATGTTATAAATGAGATCATTTTCATAGCAACTTCAGATTTCCAAAACATAAACCCTATGTGACTGAGATATAGTTCCCAGGATACCGTGCATTTACAGTTTGCGAAAAGATCACAGTTGGAAAAAATGTGTCTTTAGCCTGGATTCGACAATAAAACATGCAGCTTCTTAAGTGGTTGTTACTGGTTTTGCATTACTGAGAAGAATGGAAGAATTCAGGTGAATTCGGGGACAAGCTACCTGTAGCTGTGCAAGGCTCAGGCTGCTGGTGTTCAGAGGAGGAGCTCTCTCTGCCAGATACTTGTGTTTCTCCTCCTCTTTGACTAGGATCTCCTGCTCCAGTTCCTCCTTGGCCTTTGCCACCATGAGACTCTGCATACAAACATCATATTGTCTTACAGGATGTATTTAGATTTGAGCAGATTACATGTGTTCCCTCACGTGAAAAGTGAGACATGACACTGTCCACAGATGTGCAAAGTTATGTGATTTATCCATCTCTTCTGCTCTCCTGTGGCTAAACACATGTATTACACAATGAAAACATTACATCTACGATCTCTCTTACCTTGAGCATCAGCTTTCTTGAAGCTGAGATCTTTGGTTTCCTCTGTTTGGACAAGATCATTCAGTAAATTATCAGTATATGTATCATGTGAGTAGTTCACTTACTCATATCTCGTAATCTGAATCACTTCTGTTTTTAGCAACAAGAAAACCTTGATAACAGTGAGAGGTGAAATGGACTTACCTCTTGCCTGTAGAAGAAAAAAATGGCATAATTTAAACAAAAGGAAAGGCCGAAGGTCATAAAATATTTGCTGTGTTTTTGTGTCTGTATCTATGAATGAGTAAATGGTCTATAAAAAGAAGACAGAGCCTGATCACTCACACATGCTCAGGCATCCTGCTGATGAGCTCTCGCTGGAGGAGAGACAGGAGAGATTAGAAACACACACTCACACACACACAGTGAACAGTTGTCAGTGTTTGTTTATCAGCCTTTGGGAGGCGATCATCTTTCCGCACTTTCTCTTTGTCGCGCTCTCAGAATGTGGTGCTGCTCTCAATGTATGTAAACTGTGAGCGGACCAATTATGCCAACCTCTAGGTGTTGACTTTTACACTATGCTGGTTAACGCCCTGTTGACACTTCACTGTCATGGTTTGTAGACTAGCCTCTACTTCTCATGACTCACAGGACAAACGCCTGCATCTTTATTCAGCATCAGTTAATGGATGGTTAAAATTATTAGTTTAAAGCAACAGAAAAAAAAGTTGGACTAGTAACCTAAAAGTAATGAATAAATGGAGCAACTTAAATGTGATGCATTTTTAGGTGAAAGTAAATGTTTGACAGTGTCACAGAGGGATATTTGAGTTTTTTTATATGTGGGAATACATCTGATAAAAAAAAAGTTTGGGAATCACCGATGTAAGCAACCTTAAATTCAGCCTCAGGTCTCATCATAGGATTACTGATGCTTTGAGATGTTTGCTGCTGATTTGTGTCCGCCCAAATGTTATGGTGGAAAACGAGTTTTGTTTGGGGTGTGAAGAGAAACTCAGCAGCAGCAGTTTGTCAAAAATAATTCTCGAACCTTACAGTTTTGAGTTTTGCATGAGGAAAATTTTCTACCAAACCTAAAATATCATGAAAACAGCCAACCAATCAACAGGGCATAAAGGGAAATTGTGTTTTAAGTTGCCTTATTTGTTTTGTCAGCTCTTCCACACTGCATGGTTTCCACTTCTGTCATCATCTTATCTCCACCTTCTCTCCCACAGTCTGGTGGCCTTCTGCCCTTTATCAAATTTACAACACTCGCCCCCCCCCATCAGTCTCACCTCGTGTCACCCTTTCTCTTTGTTTCCGTCTCCAATTTTACAATTTGGTTTGAGTTGAGTATGACACCACATAAGACCACCAAACATGACAGGGTTAGAAACTGCTCCAGCGGATTAAACAAATTCCAGACTGATAGCCATCCCTCATCCATCTCCCCTGTCCCTCATCCACATCTTTCTCCTCAGGATTATCTCTGGGAGAGGAATTTAGAGTGGCCTGTCTCCCCAAATAGACCACTGGACATCTGATAGACAGCTGTGGAGGGTGATTGCAGTGTGGGGTGCCCAGCCTGGATCAAGGATTTACTGCGAGTAACTCATGGATGCTTATGAGCCTCTGTGGTGCAGCCAACTTGGCAATGCAAAAAAAAAAAAGGAAACAAAAAGCCAAGGTGCTTTGGAAAGTTCACATTAGGCTCAAACTTGAATAAATCTGTTTTGGCTGTAGATTTAAACCTCACTAGTTTGCACTATTACTAACTAGTAATCGTAGGAGCTTCAATAGAAATCAGCTGGACTTCTCTTGTAGGTTCTTGAAGACATGTCATCCAAGAAGTTTCTTCAGTTCAGCCCAATAGTCAGTTTGAACTGAAGAAGCCTCTTGGATGAGAGGTGAAATATCTTCAAGAGTCTAGAAGGGAAGTCCAGTTGATTTCTACTGAAGCGCCTATGATTGCCATGACCTGGACTGACTGAGAATCTACACAGAAGTCCTACAGAGTGTTCTGGCTGTGGTTGGTTATGGTTTAAATACAGAAACAGCCTCACAGATGAAACTACACTGCAAACAAGATGACATTAAAACACTTTTTAGTTCTATATGTCTCTACTAATGTCTCCATTTACTGGTTTGACATAATATATTTACCACTGATCGCTTCAGACACTGAAACCAGCACCATCGGATGCATCCAGGAATCCTATTTTTTTGTTGCACTGGAATCAGATCCAGAAAAGTCTTAATGCTGAGTTACAAGAAGTTTTCAACAAATGAATGGATACACCCGCAAACCATTTCAACTGTCTTCATAGCAGCCGGTGTACTATACATGCACAGAAAGAAGACATGGGCTTAACACGACACCTGAACAGCTTTAGAAACCACTCCAAGAAAAGACCTTACCGGTGTCGGAGGCAGGAGACAGAGATGCGACCGCGGCAGAGTCAAGATGAACAGATCAGAGATGAGCCCAACGATTTGGTGTCCCTCTATTTAACTGCACCACCCATTGTCTCGCTCCCTCTTTTAGGCTATTATTAGTTATCCCCATCTCTCTTACTGAGTAATCTTACTCTGTCGATGGTAAACCAGCAGTAAGAGCTTTGAGCCTCGGCCTCACAGGGAGGACGACAGCAAGACAAAAGATGAGCTTTAGACAGGAGCATTAAATGTGTAGACGAGTTAGATTGTCTGGCAAGGGAAGTGAAAGTATAAAAAAGTGGGAGGGGGAAATAATAGTTGCAAGTATTTTAATTACAAGTGCAACGGAAAAGGTAGCATGATAACACATTTCAAGATTCACGAGAGTCAAGACTCAAGACCTATAGATAGATAGATAGATAGATAGATAGATAGATAGATAGATAGATAGATAGATAGATAGAAATAAACAAGGATAATGAACAGAATTTGCAAGTTGTACATGTGCTTTATAATGACAGTGGTTACACAGTATTTTTAGCCTTGCTAGTTAAGGATGGCTGCTATGGTCCAGACTCAAATATCTCAACACCTACTGGATGGAATGTCATTACGTTTTGTACATGGTTGGCAGAGAATGGATCCTAATGACTTTAGTTATCCCACAACTTTCCCTCTAACACCACGGTGAGTCTTTGGTTTTGAGTGGACTCAACACATGCAGTGTGGACGGCCACAAAATTTGACGCAGACATTTATGTGATAGCGCAGAGCTTGAGTACAGCTTCACGGAGTTACGATCGCGGCTGTCGACTCGTAGCATTGTTTACTCACACTTAGCCCTCAAGGGGAAGATCAAAATCCTATACGTGCAAGCAGACAGGCTCTTGGGATGATTTTTGTCTTGTCAGAGAGGCCCTCTTAACAGAATGTAACCTCATTACACCATCCCTAAACAAAATGTAAAACAAAAGCACACTGTAACCTCGCCTTTAAATCACAGGATTGGGACCTGCTATTATGCCAAAATGTACTAATAGATGTGCAGTAGTAAATTAAAGTTGTGATTTTTTTTTCTTTTTTTAAGAATGTATGAACAAACAAAAACAATTCATAGTTTGAATCAATTGTTTTAAGTTAAGACAGCAAACATTTACAATAAAATATATTTTTTAATTACTTGTAAAATTTGATTTACTCTGTAATTGGCGACATAAACACAGTTTTTGAATTGATAAATTGAAGAATTCATTCTTATTATGAGATTCTTTGTAAGTGTCACATACTTAATTATCAAACCTATTAAGAGATTTTTTAAAGTTTAAAGTAGTTTTGGAATTTATGTTGCTCCGATTAGATTCCCACTCCTGCAGCTTCTGCCCTTAATGACACAACCTCCATCAGTTTCTAGGTGCAATGCTCAAGTTTAGCCATACAGGTAGAATCAGGAAAATAACAACGTTCACTGAGAATATTACCATTGATTTAGTAAAACTGATTCCTAAATGCTTCTCTAATACACAATCTTAATCGTCTGATATTGTCCTGGCATGTTTAAATTGAGGGGACCTGAAATTCTGAAGCCATGGTGAAGAAAAATCATCAAGCCAATTTCATCAGATCACCTCAACTTGAGCGTAATTTTAAAGTGATACACACAGAAATTAGAGTTTAAATTGGACACAATATTCAGTACACTTTTTATTTTATTTTATTTAAAGGGCACCTCAGAGTTTCAGCTTAAGTGCCTCTGATTGGAAATTTAAAAAATGCAATTGCAATAGCCAGGTTAATCTATCAAGGCAACTCATACCTTACAAGATGAATTTGTCTCATTTCTAGCCAAAATATATAATTAGGCTTAATATAAATCTGATTTCAATATACTTCAAGTAGAAATTTTACAAGCTCCATGAAAACCTAGAAACCCAGCTTAAGCTACTTCCTGTCTGTTCATGTTAGCAATAGCATTGCTGTAGTTACGCCAACCTAGCATAGCGTTAGCTAACAGCTTAAAGCCAGGAAGGAAGTGCAGAAACAACGTAAATGCAGAAACCATTTGAGAGTCCAGAAGGAGCGTTCATCACTCCGTCAGCTCGTTATGAATGATACCAATGCTAACTCAATGCTAAAGCTATGTTGTGATTCTCCATCAGTCTAACAGTGTAAATACATGAATGCAGGACTTTAACATCAGCTGGAAATCACAACATGGTGGAAGTGAGCTGCTCTCAGAGCTGTGTAATGTCTGCAGGATCTTTAACTGATCTGAAAAGCTCCCACCATGAAAACTTTCATAAACCAAAAGAAGATATAAAACAATGCACTTCATCATTTTACAGTTGTCCAGTGCTCATTTTATTTGAATTCTCTGTTCAGGTGACAGCTGGGAACAATATGTGGGTGCAAAAACATTTCTTTTGACTTGTGAAAAGGCTCATTTTTCAGGGAAAAGCTTGTCCAGTACCTGCTGGCACATGACTGAAGACCGACCTGACCTATCAAACCAGCGCTTTTACATATTTTGGGATCTGTAGCTGCTATTAAAGTGACCCCAAGTCACTTTACTGACTTGTTGCTTTTTCAGATCTTTGTTGTGCTCCGCAGACTTCCCCCACTGTTGTGTTTGTGACTGAGTCTAATGAGGGAATCAAATTAAACTGGCTAGCATCTGTGTTCAATCACTTGTGAGAGGAGGCCCTGCCACTAAGAAAGTTGGATTAACACAACTCTCAATGTCACCAAAACTGATAATACAAGTTGCTGATTGTATATTTTTGACCCAGCAGATTTTTATAATATTTTTCAGAAGACCTATAATCTATGAATGTTAAGTTATGAATTAGGTTATGTTGTGTGTATATGTATTTATTTGTTTATTCAATTTTTCACCTATAGTTCCATTTTTTTTTTTTTTACTAGCAGCAAGAGGGCAGTGCTGCCATTTTTGAGTGGGTAGGTGTGTCAGCTCAGGCCTGAAGAAGAGAAGAAGGCTTCATTAGTGGGTCCTGGGCAGGTGTGTTTTCTTTGTTCTTCATTGTACTGATGACCGCAGAGACGCAACTGGTAGGTTGAGACAGTTTCAGATGTATTCAAAGGATAAAATTGTAATTGCTAATTTGAGTTATGGTGTGTTGGAATGTTAAATGATTGTTGATGGATTAATTAATTAATATGGGTTTGTGGGTTTTTTATTTTTATTTTAAGGTTATCAACTATTGAACACTCAACCTGATTGACCAGCGTCCTCTGTGGTCTTCAATGCCGAGTCAAGTTTAGGCGGACAATTGAAGTTCATGACCCAAATAACTCGACAATGAAAGAACCAACATGCATGATTTGTTTTATTTTTGTGGCACAGAACCACGTGGGAATAACTGAAAACGTAAGGCTGATCTGATAAATGTGTTCTTTACAAGCGTATCGAAACTTTTGTTCATAACTGCATGTGTTCATGTCAAATCCATCTGCAACATCATATTTTACGGTTACAATGAGGGATGTCAGACATATGGTTGTTTATTGCTGGTAGTGTGGTGAAACGGCCACTTGGGGACGCCAGTAGGTTGTCAATGCTTCAGCAACATGGTCTATCTTCTACTGTCCCACGGATGTGCCCACGTGGCAAAAGCTGATCACAGGACATTACCTCAGACACAATGAGGTACAAAACATGACCAACAAAAAACCAACTGAAGCATCAGAATTAAATAGAATCAATCTTAAGCAGATTCATGCATCAAACAAACCACTGAATCTAATCGGTGTTTGAGTGCCAACATGCATAGAACTGTACACAAATGTGCAACTTGTTTTAGACTGAAGAGAGAAAAACTGTTCGGTGAGATAAAAGATGTGAAGAATGTCAATGACAAGTGGGAGAACCACAAAGTGAGTTTTAATCATTTTAATATGACGATATCACAATAGGAAATACAAAACAATAACGACAACATATGTGCTGCCGTCCAGATCACCTTAAACACAACGTTGGATCTGATGAATTTCAGAGAAAAAAAAACAAAACATGCAATGTCTTTGACCATTTGGATATTTGGAGTGAAATGATTTTATCAAGTAGAAAACAATCCCTGCAGCCAAATGGCCATTTTTTGCGGAGCTTCTGATTCTACAAATCTACAGTTTCATTTAGCTTTCATCCAAAGCGACGTACACCTGAGAGTGGATACAACACAAGTAAGGATCTAGTCAGAAGAAAACAATCTAGATAAGTGCCACAGAACAAGTTCAAGTGTGCTAGGGCGTTGATGCCAATAGCAGGCTGTGTGCGAGGTAATAGGAATGTTTTTTTTGTTTTCAGTCTGTCAAGTGCAAAGGTGTTCAGTGAGGAGCTTGGTCTTCTGTCTTTTCTTGAAGACTGAGAGGGAGTCAGCAGATTGAACAGAGTTTGGTAACTCGTTCCACCCAGTGGCGATTCTAGGTTTTATTTTTAGGGGGCACCCAAAATATAAGCTATATTGTGGGGGGCACCCAATTACTGCGGTATTCATAGCTGTAGCCTATAGCAATTTCTCGAGAAGTGTTTACTTGTACTCACATTGTATGACTAAATATAGACTAACAAAATAAACACAATATGGAAAAGGTTTCTGGTCAGAACGTACTTGTACAATATGGAATGGACAATAGTTGCTTCTTTCAAAAGCAACTCATGACACTCAAACTGATTCACAGTGAAGACTCATGTTAGTAACAGCCTGATGGCTCAAGGTACACTGAAATGATACATACATGTAAATACACACATAAACACAATGCTCTCCTCTTTTATATTAACGATGTTGTTCTTAATTTGCTTTGAGGAATGTCCGTCTGTCCTGCTCTGCGTCTTGCCTGGTGCTGATGATGGACTACAGCTGCTGGACTGGTCCTGCTTTGGATGCCCGTCGTCAGAACTGTCCCCCTGAACCTGTCTGGTTCACTGGTCTGACCCTGACATGGCTTCTTCTTAACACTAGAGGGGGCCAATCAGATTCCAGCAGGGACCATGGCTTTTGTTGGTCGAGCATCGTGAGCAGGAGGGAGTGTAGACCCAAAGGAGAGAGTTCAGGTAGGAGGGAGCTGATCTCATTGTTAGTTTTGTAGGCAAGTCAGTTTTGAATTTGATGCGGGCAGCAACTGGAAGCCAGTGATCTGGGTAGCCATTTGACGTCTACTGGCTCCTCAGTATTCAATCCCTATGTTGGGGATTCGTTCCTCCAAAATCTGTTGCAGGTACGGATTTCCCTTTGCTTCTTCCTCAATTCTCTCCAACTGCTTCCTATTACTGCTCTCCCTCAGTTTATACATAAAGTCTCTAAATATGGTCAGCAGAGGTTGTGCAAACTCAATCACACTTTGATTAGGCTTTATAAAGTCATAGAAATAGCCACCAGAGTGCAAACCGAAAACTCGGCCATGCCCATCAAACACCGGGGAGCCAGAAGCACCATGAAACATGAAAGTGTTGTAGGTCACACAGGCATTTGGACACTTTTTGATCTCTTGGTTGATTGAGCAGAGAGTCAAAATATAATCACTGTACCCTTCTAAATTTTGGTTAACTGACTCCTCTCGCTTTTCTTTCGGGATGATGCATGTAGGATCCAGTTTTTTCACTCCTCCGTTTGGGTGACCAATAAGACAGGCTTCACCATCCCCAGGTGATGGACCAAAGTTACTGAGAAGCCCTGGTGGGACTTCAGTTTCCTCTGTTGTTTGGTTGGAGCTATGTTTCTCAATGTCGAGCTCAAGTATGGCATAATCTAGAGCATCATTGCCATCCCACACATTAGCTTTCAACTCTTTCTTTGATTCACAGTTAGTTTTTTCATAGTTAAACACAACCGTAATCTTCACATCATCTTTCCATCTATCTCTTTTCAAGCCAGCACACACTTTAAACAAGTGGGCATTTGTCAAGACGAAGTTATCATACAGGACAAAGCCTGTGCCCTCATTCTCGGCACCAAACACATTTATTTTTACCAAACAAACAGACTCCCCCATTTCTATCAGCATCTTGAGTCTGTCAATTTCACTGAAAGACTGTTGGACCTTTCCAAAGTCCTCCTTCCTCAGCTCCAGCATTGTAGCAAAAGAATCACTCGTCACCCATTCTTCCAGATGTTTAAACCACTCAGAAACCTCACCGTTGAATGTGCTTTCCATTGGTCTTCTTACACTGATTTCACTCTGCTGTGCACGATGTAACACAGACTCAGCGTTTTGTTGTGATTTTTCTGACGCACTTGGCTGTTTCTGCTGTACCTGTTGCTTACTGTTGGCCTGTCGATTTGCACGACTGGGGGTTTGATATAGACATATCTTGAATTTTTTGCCATCGAGATCGTCGATGTTTTGTGTGCACAACGTGCGTTTCTTTGAATCCTCAATTTTGGACAGTTCAAAGTCTTGGAGATCAAGGAAGCGACCATCTTCTTTTAGAGCCTCCTTCACAGTGATCCCTTTCTTTGCATAGACACAGAGATAACTGAAATGTTTCACCGTATTGCTTTTGAAAAGTTTTCTTGTTTTGGCAAATTGTCCTCCGTCTTTAGAAATGCAAAAGACAGAATATTTGTCTCTTGATAGTACTTTGTCATGATCTCGGGCCTCTTCGACCTCTTCTGGTTTACAGTGTATGATCAGGCAGGCATCCTTCACGATACAAGAACAAGGAAAATGTGTTGCAACAATGACTTCATCCATCTGAATAATGAGATTGTTATTTGTACAGTTCTTCTTCTTCATCATCATCATCATAAATGGTGTGTTTAGTTCTGATGTTATTGCCTCCAGCACTGTGCAAGCTTGATTGCAGTAAACGGTGTATTCCACATTGTCATTTGGGAATTTCACTCTGAACTGATGGGAGTGATGACCCTCCTGTAAATCAGATTGAGAAAAATAAAGTTACTTGACCACCTTGACGCATAGACACAGACACACACTCAAAACACAGCTTGTATATCAGAGTGTACTAACCTTTGAATCAACATCCTCCTTCTCTTTCGCCCCGTCCTCCTCCTCCATTTTGACCTGTTTACTTGCAGCCATCTCTAAACCGAGAAGATTTTCAGAAAGTTTCATGTAAATTTTTGCTTCTGTCAGCACAATCTAACAAAGTTTTGATCATATTTTGCATACTTTGTTTATAAAAGTAGGAAAAAAATCTGTTTTTGCTGACATTTTTGGAAAGTTTGTTATTGAGGTCATAAGCGGTGCTTAAAAGTGAACCACTGTCCCAGAAGCTTTACATCACCATCACTTAGGCCAGTCAGATCATTTGTCCATACACACACCTCAGAAGAAAAGCTCAGACCACCATAAGAACTTTTTTAAAAAAAAAAGTCCTAAATGAGCTTTGAAAGGATTAGCTACACACTGCTAAGCACCAGTTTTGAGAACCTGGAGCCAGTGCTTAGGTGGTGGAAACACAAAGAACTTGTGCTAAGTCAGGCTCTGGCTCCAAACGAGCACTAAAACCAGGGGGCATTAAGGACAACGACACCAACTGGATGGGTCAGGTCATCACCAACTACAACACCAGCAACCCCATGACTCCTAATGGTGGCGTCTTACTGGCAGGGGAACTCTGTTTCTTTGACTGCTTTGATGAGAAACCAGCAGTCACAGGCAAATACCTCCACCAGCCTCAGACGGCCACAGACTTAACAGTACAGAAGGTGGGGCTGAGTTCAGAGCAGTGCATCTGAAGACAGCTGCCAGCCCTGATGGTGTGACAGGAAAGGGACTAAATGAACATGCAGATCAGCTTTCTATGGTCTTCACTAAAATCGTCAACCCACCCTGCCTGAAGTAGTTTGAATTATCCCACTGCCAAAAAGGTCAGCAGAATTAACAACTACTGTGTGGTAGGCCTCAAACCGGTCACTATGAAACGTTTTGAGCGGTTGGGCCTACAGCACATCAAAGCTACCTTTGACCCATAGCTGTCTGCCTACAGAGCCAGACTGGTCATCAAATTGAGTGACCTTGGACGGTTACAGCCCAAATGCCACTGGAACAAGGAGTTTCAAACAAACCACACCCAGATAGTCTGAATAGGTAACAAGCTCTCGTCCACCGTTACATTCAGCACAGGGCTGCATGCTGAGCCCCATCCCCTACTCTCATCCTACCCTCTGTTTGTATTTTATTCCCATTTTGGGGACATTTCTAGGCAACCATCTTGTACTGCTGGCCAATAAAAGCACCCATTGTGAGAGGATCAGAATTTCTATAATTATGGCCTTATCCTCGGCTATCTGTCTGTCGTCTGTTTTAAAGATGAGCTCAACAAAAGTAGAGCAGAGGCTGTACATTCTTTTTCAATTACTTAAAAAAAACAACAACAACCTCTTATTATAGTTGCTTTGTTCTCACTAATGCATTTTTTTTCTTTCTGCTGCTGCTCTGCTCACATCATGGCTCCTGTGTGTTCAAATGGGAGGATTAATGACATTTTCTCCTGCCTGAAGGTCATGCAGCTTCTTTGCAACATGATAAGAGAGCTGTTTGCCTTTTGTTTCCTCTGATGCATCCAAACAATTCAAAATATTTTCTCACAGGTCTCCACACAGTTCTGGATTAATTTCCCTAAGTGCTTAAAAAATACAATAGAAGTGAATGAAAATAAAACACTACATTTACAAAATATATAAATCTAAGAAACAGAAAAAAACTGTCTCTCTAAATACAACTTTGTTTCATAAGTAAGATGAAACTTCACAAACACAAATCAGAAGTGGTGTATTGTCTCAGCCTTTGTGCACAATCCTGGCAGTTTTTCTAAATTCTAATAAGTTTTTACCTGGTAGTTGTGCAGGTTCTTGTGAAGTTCAGGGTCGGTTAGTGCAGTCGGACAAAAATCAAACTCAGGTCCTCTTTCCAGTCCCGAGAAAACTCTTTGATTCAGGCGAGATTAATCCTCTGACGCAACGTGTCCACGGGCGCGGTTTTTCACGCGAGCTTCACCTCGTCGCTTCGCTTCCGTGTACCTGCTGACTTCTGATTGGCTCATTTATGGCTGCCGGTTTGTTAGCAGAACTTAGGCAGCAGAACTGCACGTGGCTCCAGTCTCGTATGCCCCCGTTGCTGCCGGGCTTTTGTTTCTTCGCAGTTGTCAATGAGACCGAGTTTACGCATGGTAGCTGCACGCTGTGCTTGCGGGGAGCTACGGAGGAATCTCTCGCTCTCCTCCTCCTCTCCTCCTCCTCTCCTCCTCTCCTCCAGTGACCGACAAGACCGCACTTCAATGAGCGCACGTTTGGAGGACCTCCGCCCATCCATTCTGATTTATGAATCACTGCCCGCTTTGAGTGTGAGCTTTGTATTTTAATTGTGTGCACAGCGAGGTTTCACTCTTTATACATTAAATCCTTTTTTGTTATTTCATCCTGTTTTGCCTCATGGTGTTGTTTTTTTTTTCTTATAATATTCTAATATTCAGTTCGTATAGATTATGAATTATGTTTAGTTTCGTAACTGCTCTGTTTATCTGCGACTGTTCCTTTTGTAAGATAGTTTTTTGAATTAATTTAAGTGTTTTGTGTTGGGACTTATTTTTCTTGTACATCTGATTTGGTTAATTTGAAGTTAAACTGTTGCTCCTCACAGCATTTATATATGTTTATTTTAAACTTATTTTGTTTGTAAATAGGTGGCTGCTTGTCATCCATAGTTAGTTTTAAGATTGTTGTTGGGTTTTTTTTTTCTCCTCCTTTCCTTCATTGCCTACACTACCGGTCAAAAGTTTTAGAACACCCCAATTTTTCTTTTTTCTTTTTTTTTATAAAATAGAAATTCAAGCAGTTCAAATCCAATGAATAGCTTGAGATGGTACACAGGTATGTGGTGTACTGCCAGAGGTTTGAAATTAAAAAAAAAAAAGGAAAGGTTGCCCAAAACTGAAAAATAATGTACGTTTCAGAATTATACAAAAAAGCCTTTTAAGAAATGGGTTAACAACTTAAAGTTGTTCTGCAGCAATGGACGTTGATCAGGCCTTGAAAGTTGTTCCTACCAATTCCTATAGGTGTCCCAAATATTCTTGATGACTTACACCCCCCTCTGTCTGCATAAAAGTAGTGCTGGAACACACTGTGGTACCAAACCCACATGAGCATTATTTGAACAGTATTGTACTGCAGAACACGCCCGCCAATAGGGGGGGACAAACGGGTCTGTTGTCCCAGTCCCAGAGTGGGGTGGGGGGCCCAGAACTGGACCCTCATTGAATTATGGATTTTTTTCCCCAAAGAAGCGCTATTCATGGAAAGAAACAGTGCAATATTTGAGTTAGAAATTTTAATTTGTTTTCGTCTGAACTGTCCTTAATATCTTTGGAATTGCCCTCCACCCCCACCTCCAACATAAAATGGTTTGGCCCCTGATCAACATTTGATGTCCTTTTAGTGGAAGTTCGGATTTTGCACTTCAGCACCAAAATGTCCGCTCAGCACAAGTCTGGTGCTCAGAAAAGGAAAAAGAAGAGAAAAAGAGAGGAAGAAAATAGAGGCCTTAGAGATTTGCTTAAAAAAATACTTTAAAAAAGGTGGTGACAACGAAGCTGGAACTAGTAAAGTCAAGGCCCAGGGAAGGCTGTCAGCTGGCCTGCTTCAGAAAGTAGTGCGTTGCTATAAAAATGACTAGGAAAAGGCAATTAACAATGGAAGAGAGACAGACCATCATAACTCTCAAAAATGTAGGTCTTTCATACAGAGAAATTGCAAAGAAAGTCCAGGTGTGAGCGAGTAAACTTTCCTTCGCCATAAAGAGGCACTCAGAAACTGGGAGACACTCTGACAGGAGGAGGTCTGGCAGACCCAAAGCCACAACAGAATCAGAAGACAAGTTTCTGAGAGTTCACAGCTTGCGTGATAGGTGGCTAACAGGACGACAGCTTCAAGCACAGATAACAGTGGTCGTAGTAAGCAAGTCTCAGTTTCAACTGTGAAGAGAAGACTTTGAGCTGCAGGTTTGACAGGACGGCTTGCAGCAAGAAATCCACTGCTGAGACATCAGAATAAGAAAAAGAGGCTTGTCTGAGCCAGAAGGTATTATGGACTGATGAATCAAAATTTAAAATCTTCGATTCATCACGCAGGATTTTTGTAAGCTGTTGAGTGAGCGAAAGGAGGGTTCCTCAGTGTGTAACAGTCAAACATGGAGGAGGAGGCGTGATGGTCTGGGGCTGTTTCGTTGGATCCAGGACTGACTTCCTTTAATACAGAAAGTTTTGGTATGTGATTTAAATCGGCATGTAGCTCCTGCTGCTGTACATCTCTAAGGGGTGCTGTTGAGTTGCATGGTCAATGAGAGGTCAGAGGTCAAATGTATTTAGAACTGACTCATTTCATAATCATGATCATCATGCATTAGTATTTCTACTCTGTTTTTACTTTTACTCAAGTACAAGATCTAAATACTTCTTCCAGCTTTTCTGCCTAAATGTTGGAGAGGATTTATATATGTATACAGTATTTAACTGTAATTCTTGTCAACATTATAGTATATACACATGATTTTTTCCATGCGTCACTGAGAGTCCTGAGAGAAACTGTTAGAATAATTCTGTTATGCTCCAGTGATCTTTGTGAAAAGTATGAGAATGGTGTAAATGTCCATTGCCTCTATTTCACTTTGTTACTGTGAGACACCTAAGCTAATCACACCCATTTGCTGGAGGTTGTCTTCTGTTTTCTGTTCACTGTCTGTATATAAGAACCAATGTCAGTCACTTGTTCGGACTCTGCACTGTACATGTTGGCTCCTTGCTGCAAGTAAAACATTGCTTTGACTTAAGAGACGACTCTGTGTATTGATTTGGAGCAGTTAGGACTCCACTGAAGAATTTTCCTAACAGAAACCATCAGTCCTTCAGATCACACCAACTGATAGTACACACAGATGCTTTTCTGTCGACATTTTCATCTGTTATTCAACAATCGCTTTGAGTTTTTCATTATCAAGAACTACGTCAGGCAAGCTGAGAGCAGCAAAATAAGTAATTATGATTGCAATCGAACCTCGAAATTATGTTGTTCAGAAAAGTATTGAACATTTTTGTCGGACCCACTGCTCCTGCCCCTGCTGCTGTCTAGTGGCAGCCCTGTTTTTCTTTCTCTCTACCAGGGTGTGGTTGTGGCTGAGGGCTGATTGCAGGAGTGGAGACAGCTGTGTGGGAAGTTCTCTCTTTTATTGTTTTAATTTATCTCTTTAATTTCTTATACAGAGAGCTAAGTTCTTGTTTGTGTGTACAAACCTGGCCAAAAAAGTTGATTTTGAATCTTATCTATCTCTCTATCTATCTCTATGGCCCCTTGTGAGGATGCAGCTTGAACTCCTTCAGAAAGGCAAAATTGCTGTAAAGTTGGAGGATGAAGAGGTAAAATTGACGCAAATGGCTTTGACACTTTGTGAGGACACGATTTTAACTCCTCTCAAAGATTTGACTGCAGTGGTGGAGGATGAGGAGGAGACACCACACGTCCAGCTTGGTTAGCAACATTTCTGAAGTTCTCACAGTTTACTTGTGTTTGTAGTTTGGAACAAACTTGCATAATGGGTCGCTGTTCTTTTCAGAAATCGTAGGAGAGAACAGGAAGAAGCAGAAGAAGGGCTAGCTCAGGAGGTTGTTCAGGCCGATCGGCTAAGTGTTTTGCTTTTGTTACAACAGTGACACTTTGCCATGAAGCTTGTGGTGTACATGAGCAGCTCTCATCTGTTTTCTGTTCAAAAGCGTAACAGTCATCCATCCATCCATTGATTNCAGTGACACTTTGCCATGAAGCTTGTGGTGTACATGAGCAGCTCTCATCTGTTTTCTGTTCAAAAGCATAACAGTCATCCATCCATCCATTGATTATTTATACACCGCTTAATCCTCACTAGGGTCATGGGGGGCTGGAGTCTATCCCAGCTGACTTAGGGTGAAGGCAGGGGGCACCCTGGACAGGTCACCAGTCTATCACAGGGCTACACTTAGAGACAGACAACCAAGCACACTCACATTCACACCTACAGACAATTTAGAATCACCAATTAACCTCAACATGTTTTTGGACCGTGTGGGAGGAAGCCGGAGAACCTGGAGAGAACCCACGCTGCACGGGGAGAACATGCAAACTCCACGCAGAAAGATCCCGGTGTCCTCACCGGGAATCTTCTAGCTGTGAGGCAACAGTGCTAACCACCGAGCCACCTTGCAGCTCCATAACAGTCATGCACAGGAATTTTTGATATTAGATTCAATTAGATATCACTGTTATTAAAAAAAGAAAAAAAAAAGACTACACAGAATCTCCACCATGTCAAGACTTACCAAAAAACTGAGGTGAATGGAGACGATTTCCTCCCTTAACAGGGCAGAGACAGACCTCTAGTGGTGTAACACTCACACAGCAGCTTCATTTGGTGAAACCTGAGAAGACCAGTGAGGCCTGCAATACAATCTTGGAAGTGTAATCCTGAATGGTCGTCAATGAAGAACACACTCATGTGTCTTTTCTACCCATTTCTTTCTACAAGCACTGATCCATCCAATGATTGCTCCTTTTGCAGCAACATTAGTGTCAACTTCAGGAAAACATTGTGAGTCTAGTGATATGGTTTATAAATTTGCAGGCCTAAGTGTGTGCTGATCTCCCTGGACTGATGTCATCATGTTTGACAGGGCATTCCACCAAGCGGTGTGAGTACACATAAGGACCTATGGTATATAACTGCACACATTTGCACGTCTCCACAGCTCTCCTTCACAGACAGCACCTTGTGTATTTACACCTGCCTGCCACACACACACACACACACACACACACACTATTTAGCACAATAGTCCATTACTGGGTGTCTCTGTTCCTTGCAGCACTCCTGGTCCCTTGCTGAGTCATTTGGTGTGGCCCGGGATTGGGGTTTTCCACAGTAACAAGAGAAGTCGTAACACAACCGGCCCTTTATTCCTGATGCCCACTGAGCCACACAGCCACAAAGAGTGCTATATTTGTTACGCACAAAACATGCTTAAATGAACAATGTCTCGCTAATGTGAGTCTGCTGATGCTTCGGCCTCGCTGAATTTGATGTTGGGTGTGCACACACGCTCCTGTAGGTGAACATGTGTGGGTGGATGTTTGTGTGCACATGCCTCAGGCTCACGGGGCTTCTCATTAGTCCTCTGCACCGCTCAGAACAAAAGGTGTCCTGACTTCAGCGTACACGCAATAGCAGGAAAGCAACGCCACGATGTGTATGTGTCTGTTTCTCTGGGGTGTGTGTATTTTCCAGAGGCTATAACAGCAAGATTACGACACAACCAGAAACAGATGAGCTTAACAATTAATGGTCTGAACCCAAAATAAATCGCAGCCGACTGTCTAGTACTAAGAGGCATTATGAGAAAACAGGAGCGCTGTTTCAAAAATAGCAACTCAAGTAAAACACAAGGATTACAAAAAATTTATTCTTCTTTTTTACAACTGTAATACTGTACACGGTTTCAACAAATATATAGAATACAATGAAACTAAGCACTTATTCTTCATGTTAAACCATGCAGATCTGTTCAGTCTGTGACAAATGTATTCAAAGCAAGTCATACAATGCCATCAAAAGTGACTCCTGTTTCAGCAGCATCAAAGAACACTGGAAAATATTTAATAAAGAAATATGAAGAAATTTCATTAAGGCACAAAGGTGTCCCAGCTCCAAAGTTTCTGTCCAAAAAGCATTGCATAGGAGTCTCCATATTGACCTTGAGCAATGAGGTCACGACAGAAAAAAACAACTTTATCCATTGTTCCAGTATATCAGATTTATATATGTTGTATGAAAGCATGGATAAGTTCATGACAGAAGAAATAAGAGCATTTGAGACACTTTCTCAGTCTTTTGATCCATATCTGCCGATGCTGTGCACCGTAGAATGAAGGCTGTGGACCTTTCTCCCCTCTAATTGGTTGGCTCCCAAGAATAAGAAAGTCTGGATAAAAACAGAACATATTCAGTATTCGTTAGTTAATTTATAGACTCCACGCTGGGGCAGCTGATGGTGTTAAACAAAGTGCATTTGTAGTGAGTTATATTACGCTGTTACCACGGCTACTAAGTTAATTTGGGCGCTTGACTTCTGCAGCTCTCTTAAGGAAGCAACGCTGTGGATTCCTCGACTGTGAGCTCATAGTTCAGACTCTCATTTCATGAACATTTGAGATTTCACTTGACCAGTTTCTGTAAATAAACTCTGTTGTCATGTCAAGATTTCACTGACTCTGCCCTAAATGTTGAAAAGACGCATGGGAGGTACTTAGCTCTGTCTTCTCCAAATGTCCATCTGTCTTCATGTCGTCTAAACACATGAGAGTCTCTCTCTCTATGTATGTGTGTGTGTGGTTAAAAATACTTGACTGCCTGGTGAGGGAGAGGCAGGCAGATGTTATTTGGAGGCTCACATTGCATTGTAATTATGTCCTCCAGTGAGAGTGGTTTGTGTTCGAAGCAGGCCGAGGTGCAGTGAAGGCAGATGGCCGCAGTGAGGAAACACTGGGGTGACTCTGACTCAGTGGAACATCTAAACACTGAAGTGGTACTTGTAAATAACCTTTAGCGGGAGCTTAGCTTGAGGCTTGAGTGCTTCCCAGCCAAGTGCCACCTCATCCCCAAGAGTGTGGATGTTTTCATTCCAGCCAATCACTGCAATAACTTGTTCCATTAGCACCCTTCAAACCACACAAGTGGGATTAAGTGTTAAGTCAGGTGTTACAGAGTTTGGATACTTATTAGGTCTTGGATGGCAAGTGTTTGAAACCTCTGGCTAGCGAGAAAAAAAAAAGTGTGTTTGGGTAAAAATGTGTTTGGATGATGCATGGGCTCTGGATTCCAAGTTTGAAGTTTGCCACCTCCACCCAAAGTACAGGATATCTAAGTCTAAATGGTAAATAAATAGTAAAACTCTTCCCAATCCAACACGCCACGTTCTGACGTCAGTTTCACCTCCACCAGAGGTGAGGGCTTACCTTCATCGAGTCAGAGCTCCTCATCCTCCCCGGTGCTGCCCAGGTGCGCAGTGGACAGGTGCCTCTTCCTGCCGCTCTTCACGGCCTGCAGGTTCTTGTAGCGCACCAGCGCCAACGCGATCTCCGCGTTCCACGCCGTGCCGTCCTGCGGACACCGAAAGTCGATTTCCTTGCCCGTAGCCATGACCACGGTGAAGTACACCAGCCCTCGCTTGTACTCCACGCAGTCCACCGTGGCCATCCTCTCAAAGAGCAGCTCCTTGGCTTTGGAGCTCCACGCCGAACCCGGAGCATCACCTCTGCCTTTGCAGTTATGCAAACGCAGGCCTTCCTCGGTGAGGACGCAGCGCTTCTTCTTCCACAGCTGGAGCAGCCCGCTGCTGCGCTTCTCCAGCAGCCCGTCTCGCATCACTTTGGCCGGGAAGGACATGGTCACCAAAGTGTTCGGAAAGAGGCGCAACGTGGAAAACTTCGCGCGTCTCAAGATGAATCCATTAACTCTCGACTTTTGCTGTATCCTTCAGGGAAACATATCGGTTTGAGCTTTGGCATGAGTGATAACAGCTTACACAGAGACTACCACAGAGTCTGCGAATAAATCCAGTCCGTGCGTAATGACGACACGCCGCGGAGGTTGGACGGTTAGTCTGCCTGGATATGTTTGAACATGCCCGACCTTTTTCCCCTTCCAGCAGTAGCACCCCGCCTCCTATCAGTGACGGCAGAAGGAGATCCAGGTTGTTTGTGAAATTCCCTGTAGGAGTGTGTACGTGTGTGTGTGTCTGTCTATCTGTGTGTGTATGTGCGCACTCAGACTGCTGGTTTTACAGCGTTTGCATTGATTATGTGCTGACAGGAGCCCAGGTACAATAGGTAAGTTTAGCCACCTCCCACTCAGGCCTTTATTGCACCTGTTGTGAATAAAACGACCACAGTAATAAAGTTGGAAGTATTAAGAAACTTAAAAATAAATAAATATATATAAATAGCTCCATTAAATCACATGTAGCAGTCCTTTTAAATTCCACAAAAACTATTTAGGACGTGTTTCTTGTCTCTGTGAGAGCAGGAATGTGAGTGGGAGGATGAAAGTTGTGTAAAGAGGTCAAATGTTGTGCTGTGTGCATGCGTGAGAGAGCTAACAAAGAGCCAGGAAGAAAAGTTTTTGTTGAAGACAGGATAGGATGACTAATAATTATTGTGCTTTGGAAACTATTACTTGGATTATTTAGAATGAAGGCCTGGGTTCAAGTCGATTTCAGTTTCCTCACATTACACATGAACAACATGTACTCACATATCATTGGCAGTCTGGCTAATTAGAGAGACTGCTAATTTCCATCAAAGCCTTTCAGATTTCTCTGAGCAGTTACTTCATCTTATCTAACCTCTGATGAGTTAAATTATGTATTTAAATTTCTCTTTCGCCTCCTGAAAGTTGAGCTTTGTGGGCGGAGTAAAGCTGCAGTGCCCCCAATTTTACAGGATGCAGCACTTATGTCATTTATTCCCAGCAGTGTGCGGTGTGTCACCGCAATGCTATGAGAGGAATGGATGCAATGCACATGTGGCATCTCTTGAAACTTAAATGTGGACTGTCATGTACTAATTTAATTCACTTCCTGATTCCTTGTACACATGTACAGAGAGAGAGAGAAAGAGGGACAAGGAATTTCACTGATGTGCTCTTATGTAGTTTTGGCACCAATAAAAAATAACAACACTAGAGCCATTATTTTTCCATTTTTATTTCATAGGCTATATCATGCTGTTTAAAAAGCATGCTGTACAAAATACAATGAGCATTTACTGTGTAATACAGACAGTTGTGTATCTTATGATGCTGAGATTGCATTTTGCAGAACAAAACCATGTTACAATAAGCATGTGCAAATTACCAACGCAGCTTTAAAGAGATTGGGTAAAACGCCATTATTATGTGTTGTGTCTGTATCAAGATTGACTGTGACAAATGTAGTTGGCCAAAAGGGGCGTGATGGTGTTATCTTCTTGCCTGTACAGTTTATATAAATGCAGCTTTCTGTCAAGCATGTGTCTGTTGGGGGGTAACAGCCTGCAGCGGCCTGCCCTGTGCAGAAAGAAGGCAGTAGTGCAGTAATCTGGAAACTTGTCAACCCAGTGACAGTCTCTATTGGGTGTGTGCCAGCGCTCCGGCTCCCGCTCCAAACCCAAATCCCTTGGGACCAAAGTTTTTGCCGTAACAGCCTGTTGGAAACAAAAGATATCACCATAAAACTCAACACACTTTGGTATCAGCATCACATCCTTTAGATGACCCTAACTGGTGTGTGCCAAACAGTCTGCGATGCTTGCTTAGCCAGCTAAACCTTGGCCCGACCAATTTTAATTATTTAAATGAAACTTTCGTTTAAATGTTTATTTTAACTCAAATTTTTTGTCCTTGTGGTTAGACAGAAAACACCCAGACTGTCACGAGAGCACTGCTGATAGTACACATCGCTATTGCACGACAGCTAAAAAAATAAACCTTTGATTTCTTCTTTGACCGATACATTGAGCGCAGTAGGCTACAAAGGTCACAAATGGGGTCAGCATAAGCAAATTAGCCAGTGCACTACTTCCTTATCCTTGTTCAGGTGGTCACTAATTTTAGGTTTACACATTGCTAGAGCAACCAAACAGTTGCACCAAACAAAGTCTTCAGTAGGGATCTTTTATTCCTTAATATTTACTAACTGCTGTGTTGCGTACTGCACCTGAATAATGCTGTCTAATAATGATGTAAATGTTAGCTACACGCTGACATCATATAAAACACTGCATTTCACAAAATAGCCTCAAATGAAGAAACATTTGAATTCATTTCAACGCAATTGTAGTTCAGGACTATATTGAAATTCCCTGGGCTCATTTTTTATAATATATACACAGCACACCACAAACAGACACAAACAGACACACCTACAGGATAAATATGTTCATATAAATACATGTCATGGTTTGTGGGTTCTGGTTTTGTTTTGGTTCATCCCTGTATGTTTTCCTCCTACTTCTGCTGTGATTTGTAGGGTTTCACGTCCCATTTCTGTGACTTCCTGTTTTATTTTTTAAATCATCTTTCCTCGTGTTATTACTTCCTCTGTATGTCTGTCTCCCTCCTTTTGTGATTGCCCTGAAGAGCTTCACCTGTGTCCTGTGAGTCACCTGTGTCTTGTCTCCCCAATCGGTGCTGAGGGTATGAACAGTCTTGTCTTTGCCAGTTTGTCCTGTTTGATTCCCTCCTGTGTTCCTGGCCTGTATCTGCTAGACTTGCTCGACTTCTGTTTCTTTTTGCTCCTCTGGTTCACCAGGTTTGTGTTTTGGTTGTTTTCTCACCTGATGTGTTTGTGCATGTGGATTTTTGGTTTTCTCAGGATTAGTCACTTCTGACAATCACATGGACTTTTTAAAGTTGGAATTTTCCCGAATCGCTGACGATACAGCTATATAAACAAGTGAGTTAATGAAAGTAAGGTTAACCTGGCACATGACAAACTGTATTAATACTATGACATATTTCTCCATATGCAGACAAACAAAACTGCTCTTTTTACAAATGTATGCCAGCTTGTGTTGCTCCAGTAGCTTCCTGTTGGCTAGTTCATTGCTCTTGATGGACAGTGCTAATTATCTGTATTACCAATGCTGCCCCACATAGCAACAGCTTTGAATTCCACATCAGCTTATTGTCAAAAGGAGCATTTGTGGTTGATGTTAAAAAATCATCTATCAAAAATCATGGATCAACATTTTATTGCTGTAAATGTTAAAAAGATTTTATTAAACAATTAAATCTTTTTAATTAATTAGACCGAAATGCAACCGTTTCATCAGTGTTTGCTGAATGCATGCATTTTTAAACATGGATACCTGAGTGGGACCATCGGAGCCCAGAAAGTCTACATTAAGCACCATAAGCAACATTTGTGAAGCAATTGTGAATTGGCTAAAATTAAGCTGTACTTTAAGATGATTAAACAAGTGTTTCACCAACATTTCTTCAGTGTTTAATCAGCCAGGAAGTAACTCAGACTGGCTGATTCAGTGACTGTTTTGATTAAAAAGAACTGTAGCTCAATGAGCTGGAAGACTTGAATGTACCCAGACACGTGGGTGTCGTGCAGTTACTTCCTGCTTTGACTATAAACTTAAAATCGATACATAGAAAAGTTTGATTCAGAAATGAAAAATAAATTTCTAATGCTGCACCAATTTTCATTTTAAACCATGATTTTATAATAAAGTAAAAAATACCATTATTCAAGGGACAGCACCACAACTATATGAGCCAGAGAAGTGCTCTTAGATAATGTATTTCTTTGCTGTACTGAACCAAAATGACCAATATGTTCTCAATTCAATACTTAAAGAACAGAGTTTTACAAGCTCTTGAGCAATGTCTTGTTTTGACATTTTTAGTGTTTGGTACTAATGGAAAGGTTTCAGTGCCAGTGGGCCCTCTGCTGTATTCTTGTGTTTATTACAACTCATTAACTCACTCAACAGCCACTAAACATGAGACCTCGCAGTTCCTACTCTTGCCAAAAGTATCATTTAAGCCTGCAAATATTTAGGACTGTTATTGCATCCAGCCAATTTCCCCTTATAGTTTGAGTTGTGCAAATTTTCATTTTGAGAAGTGACACAGCACAAATTACTTTATGATCCATCACTTATTTTATCTTTCAGTAAAGGCAGCCTGAGCCAAATTAGATGACTGTGGCGTATATTGCCTCACGTTGCCATTAAAATTATTTAAGGAGACCAAATTAAGAAAAATGCATCCTATGAAACTGCAAAACTTTGTCATCTATGGTATTAAACTTGCACATCACTTTAATTTAAGCCACCACATTACGCTATAGAACCAGGTTAAATGTGTGTTGTGTGCTCGTTCATGTCACAAGACTTGTGTGAACGTATAGGTGTGCTCTATGCTACGTATTTGCTCTTGTTGTGAAGGCAGTAGTTTTACCTTTGCAGTAGATTTCTCCGTCCTTGTCGGCTAATGTGGTCGACTCAAGGCTCTTCCCACATTTGGCACAAGTGAAACATCCGATCTTATGCCATGACTGTGAATACATAAAGGTCCGTTTTAAAACCGCGGTGCTTTCACACGCGTGCACATGTGTGCGCATGTGTGGGTTTCTCTTACACTTCCAGCGCCGATCACTTTCTCAGCAGCGTACACGGCCTTGCCACAGCGAGGGCACCTGTCTGACCCTCCGAACTTCTGAGCTAGCTTAGAGGGGTTCGCGTTGGTGGTTGGACGATGAGGACCAGGTCTGATGGTGGAAGAGGGGAAAAAACATAGATGAAAGTCCTTAAACAGACATCAAGAAGAATGTTTGTGTGTAACTCACTCTTCATGTGTGATGCCCAGAGCCTCTCCTTTGTCCATGTTGAGGACCCCTGCTCCCTGGCCGTAACCGTAGCCTTTTGGCCCGTACTTCTTTCCGTAGCATGCCCTGCAGTAGATCTCATCCATATGAACCGCAACCGTTGTGCTGTCCAAATTCTTCGCGCACACCACTACACACACACACATATTATTGTTTTGCATATCTTTGTACATGTTGTTGAGCACATTCATGTATTTAGATAGGCCCCGAACTGTTTCCTTTTATGGAACAGTTCTTTTGAAGAAACATGTTCTCATCTAAATTCCATCCCTGGAATGTTTGATTAAAATACGGGAACACAAATAACTTCACTCAGAACTTCTTGAACCTACGTCTTATCAAGCTGACATGAAGGAAGAGGTTTTTTTTTTTTTAGACTTTCACAATCGCTTCAGTTTGTTTTAATCGTATAGTTACAAAACTACAAAAAACAAGTTTGTTCTAAGTGGGATGAAAACATCCAGGACCATAATTCCTTAGTGAGGAATTTAAAGAATGTCTAAACAGTGCAAAGCTTTCACATTAATTTGTCTGTAGCTAATCTCTTGTCCTTCAGTGTCTTACAAGAAAAGTAAAATGCACTGTAATCATGCTTCCATCACGTTTAGAGCAGCCAACACTTTCTCCTCGTATGTTATTGTATTCTCCATGTACGCTATATGATAAGAACAGATTAGGTTAGTATTACATTAAAGCATAATGACAAGGGTCAGCAGTTCAATGGTTTCCACAGTGACAATCTCAGGAAACGGCAAACGGCTAACTCACGGCACAGGAAGCAGGACTTGTGGAAGCTCCTCCCATCACAGAGCACCTCTTCTGCAAAGTAAACGGTCTTTGAGCAGCGGCCACATTTGTTTCCTCCTCCTAATGGCATCCTTCTGTCATACAGTACGAACAGAGACACACACTGTGGTTAGTCTGATGTGTACTGACTTTTCCAAATCTTAATTGTTTAAGTCTAAAGATTTGCCACCTTAACAACAGTCAATATGTTCATCCCAGAAGTATCTGCACTTCAGAAAAGGACCGACAGTGAATAACATGATGGAAAAGAGTGACAGTGATCTTTCTGTAACTGCTTGGAAGGCTTTTAATTGTTGAGGAAGAAGGCCTTAAATTTAGAAAAGAAAAGATAACTGGACCAATGAAGTTCTTTCCACAACCATCAAGAGTACAAATACAAGAGTTTTTTGCTGTAGTTGTAAGAATCCCATTTAAACATCCATATTTGGCTGCCTGTGACTCTGGTGTAGTCAGACCAAGCCCAGAAATGTCATTCCTGCCAGTTCTCTGTGGTTTCTGCAAAGAACCAGCAGCTCAGCATTGGAAATATACAAGAATTCCTTTTTTTTTTTCATTGAAGACTAAGGGATGGATGAAAGTTGCTCTCGAGTTAAAACTGGATGCAGTCAGTGTGAGAGTAATGTGAAAGCGTGACTTTCTGAGGAGTTTTGAAGTCGATGGGATGTGAAAAACCCTGGCAGCCTGCCTGTTTCTACCCAGTCCGTATCCCTGCGTGACCCTCCCTGTGCTTTCTCGCATATCCACTTCCACATTCCTGCCTATAAGCGAGCCTTTCCAACCTCCCTGCCCGTGGCTCACACCATCTCCTCTCGCCTGCCCGTCTCAGTCTACGTCACTTCTTCAGACTGCACCCCTTACTCTACTTATATGTTTGCTTTATTAGGCAGGAAATATGTCTACAACTGCGCCAAGGTCGGCTCCTTTTTTTTTTTTTCCTTCTTCTTCGTCTAGTGGTCAGTAGGTGGAGCTGAGATGTCAGACTGTTAAAGTGTTAGGCTGTTTCCTATCACATTTCCTGTTCTTTAAAGCAAATATGAAATCAATGATCAAATGATTCGCTCAGAGAAACTCCCACAAATCAAGCTTAACTGGTAGCAGAACGGTACTTAATAGGAACATGAGCTCATTTTATGACATGAAATTATAGGTCAGAGTGAAGTAGGAGTGGTTTGTGTCTGGCTGCCCTTCCTTCATTCTAACTGTTTCAGGCTATTTTTGGGGGGTTTAGACAAAGGCCAGACGGTAATGAAAATAATGAAAAAGAAGCGTTCTCTCAAAATATTTTCTGGAATTTTACACGAATACAACCACAGGTGATAAATTCACTACATGCATGTTAGTGTTGCAAATACGTTCTTCATACATATAAGCTTAACATACATACATCAGCTGTCCTGTATATTCAGTTTTCTGCACCCTGTTCTTCACATGCAAGTGTTCCTACCGAGGCAAGCTAGTTAATGAAAAACTTTTACTTGATCATCTCTGCCTTTGCTTTTTTCCGACTGTCTTGTAGCTCTGGGTACAGGGTCCATTATAAGAAAAATATATAAATTCTCAAATTGAGTCGCTACAACGCAGAAGAAACATGAACTGAGAACATTTCAGGGAACCTGTGGTTAAGCAGAGGAAAGTGAAAAGGCCTTGATTATTAGTGTCCTGTTGCAGAGTATCCATCCTCACAGCCACAAACAACACTTGGCATTTCCAGGACTCTATCACGTAAAGAGCAGCTCGTGTATGTTGCAGCCCTTTAAGTGCAACCGAATGCCAGTCTAAACAGAAATGGCAGTCATATTTTTGTAGCGAAAAACACTATTTTAGAGCTTTACAGCAGCCCAGCTTCAGAAAATAGCACTTGAATGGAAGTCTGAAGTCTCAAATAAGTGTTTTTATGTCATTTCGCAGGAGTTTTTGAGGCGACAAGCACAGAGCAGAAGAAGAGAGAGAGGTTTAAAAGCTTGGATGTGACCTGAGGGTCACGATGTGAATGGACTCGCAGCTCCAGGACTAAATCACAAGGTGAGGAAAGGAATTTGAAGAATATAGTGAGTACTTTTTGTCAGGTTGGTGAATGTATATTTAGATTTGTAATGAAAATGGCTGCTAGGACTTGTTGTGACAGGTCATCTAACAGGACAAGATGGAGAGGACGATAAAGGACAATACAGAGGAGGAGAGAAGGTGATCGTTCTCACTTGGCAGACTAAAAGGTTACTGGAGACTAGGTTGAATTTGTTTTTAAAGAAATGACGCAAATGGGAGGACGTGCCAAATTATTTTCAGTGCATTCGTGAAGATGAGTTCTGTCGTATGATAGTGGTGGCTTTGCAAGTTTAGACATGCTGGGATGCAGACAGTTATGTAAAAAGGCTTTATTAAAGCTGCGTGAAGGAGAGGTAATGAGTCCTAACTCCTACAAATGAGGAAGTCTGTTTATAAATTAGATGTGATTCCATGTGACATCTGTGTGGTTCGGGCCGAGGGTTATTTTGTTTTTTATCCAACAGTTCTTTTAGTAATTCTATGTTGCTGTTTAACTGTTCACCTATTTGCTAACTCGAGCTGAATGGGAAATAAATGTACACCGTGGCATCGCGGTGTTGTGTCTTTTTCCCACCATGCATCAGCGAAATAGGAAATTGGAAAGCAAACAGAAAGCAGGAAGCCTAAGCAGTCGGTAATACACTTGCATTACCTACCTGTAGATGCTGTCAGTCAGTGGTGATGACTTCAGCGGTGAGCTTGGACTCCCAGATCGCAGTAGCGGCAACGCAGCGTTGGGCTGTATTCAGGAAACCAGCAGTCCAGAGTTAGGGGAGTGGAACTGCAGTTTTAATCTGCAAGCGAAGAATAGCTTTAATTACGAACCTGAATTCTTGCTGTGTACTGGTTGTTCCAGTGAACTGTTAGTCAGCCAGAGTGCTGGTATGTGCCTTTCCTCTCGGACTAAATTCCAGATGTGCTGGAAAGGAGGAGCTTCTGTTGTTGCTGCTCCAGTCAGCAAACTTTTAGTGTGTTGAAGAACAGGGGAGTTCCTGAAGTGAGACAGTGAGGGTGAGAGAAAGGGGAGGAGGGAGAGAGAGAGAATTGGGAGGGACCTTGCATTGTAAAACTGTATTGTGTTGCCCAGCAGAGTCATTTTATGAACGATTAGAGGTACCAAAAGTGGAAAAAGAAGAACCATTTCTTTCTAACTCTCTGGGTTTGGTTACAGTTTGTATCTTACAGTTTGCACAAGGCCTGACCTTCATGTTGTCAGACATTTGCAGGAATGTCAACAAACAGCCAGACTGTATAAACTCCACGTTGCTGAAGCTGTTTTTATAACGTTTAGATTCTCTGTATTGTGTAACATCCCGATCTCAGATTAAAAAACAGAGGGAGGATGTTTTTTCTTGCAGTGAAAACACATAACCCTGTTTTCTTTATATATTTTCTTAAGCAGCATTAAGAGTAGGTACCAGTCCGTGTGTACAATAATCTGTCAGCAGACTTTTGTCTGAATATCAATATTTTTCTTTCTCTTCCATGCTTTATCTTTTGAGCCAGTAAACTCATCACACTGGCTTTTTTGTAACTCAGTCAAGATCTTAACCTTAAACGGATAATAAATTTAAAGAGTCTTTATTACCACAACACTACATGACCTTTAGGCCCCAGCTGTTAGAGTTTCTTCAAATATGCTCAATGGGTGAGAAGGAATTAATTGAAATAAACTGAAGCTACTCACTGGTACAGACGGAGGAGGAAGAAGAGTGGATGCTGAACATTCATCTCTGCTGCCATCATGTGGCCTTTGAGGCTACTGAACACCAGAACAAAAGCTGAGAGGCCTGCATACAGACCATAGACTGGAATAGAAAGAATGCTTTCTTATACAATCTATGATGCAGAAGACTGTACTCTTTATGTTAACATGTAGTATCAACAGAGCCAGCAGGTTTACAACTTATCATCAGCACTGATCAGTCTTCAAGTAATTTTCTTAGTTCATTGTTTTATCAGTTAAGGGTCAGAAAATATGGAAAAGTTTCCAAATTGATAAAAAAAAAATATCTTCTCAAAGGTTTTGATTTAACCAGCCAGCTGTCCAAAGTTATATTCTCATCTGTTATAGATGCCTACAACTTTTTGGTCCTTTAGGTTTAAAAGAACAACAACTTTTTAAAATTCCTCTTAACTTGTTTTCTGTAGCTCAATTAGAGCTTCTTCTCTGCTCTGCTTCATAAAATTGAAAGGTTTATGTATAAGCGGATATCAATCACAAACAGGAAGGATGATATCACCAGTCTTTGTATTCATCAGAAAAAAAACGCTAAAATTATTCAGCAACCCAATTGAGTACTTTTTTCCCTTCAAATATTTGCTTCTTTCTGATCATTCAATGCTAAGATTGACAATTTCAGTTAGTTTTTTTTCCCCATTAAAACCTGAACATCTCTATTTTTGGACTGTTGGCTGGACAAAACCAAAAATCTTTAGCTCGAGGAAACTGGGTGAAGCATTTTTTTAATTCTTTTTTTTTTGTTCATCAAAAAAGTAATCAGTAACTGAACCACTAGTGAATATGTTATTACTCACAGCCCTTCATTCTATGTCGTCTTTGTACCGATTGTGGTGGTTGTTTCTCGTAAATTACACCGACAGTCTTGACCACACACAATAACAACGGAAAAGCCGTAGTCAACAATGAGAGCTGACGTTGTCTAGATGTGTTTTTTTGGTTTATTTTTTCCTGATATTCAGCATTGATTGACACAGATGTGCTGCATTTTCCACATTTTTCAGGCTGCATTAATGAATTTAGAACTTTAAACTGAAAACCAAGAGTAGTGATTGTAAAAATTGTAAAAATTTCTTATATTAACAAATATATCCCCCAAAAAAGCAAATAATCAAAGATGGATTTATTATACAAATTTGAACGGTCACATATTGAAATTTCTCACATTCAGTCTGTAGACATTTAAAGCAAATATCATTCCAATCATTCACTGGCAGCCAAAACCGCTGTGATTCTGTGATATGCACGCACACAAGTCCTGATGAAACATGTTGTATGCTGTATAATGCCTCGGCAGCCTCAGCTTCTCGAAACAAGTTAGAGCTGTGGGAAGCGTGGCCTCTATTATTTCAACCTTCATCTCGGTGGCGGGCACCTCCCACCCGATCCAAAACTTTACGAGGCTCTTCAGCTCAGCAGGCGACGCTGTGTTGAAACGGAAGCAAATCAGACGACACGTCTACTAAACAGACAGCAGCTTAAGAAAACAGTAAAAAACAGTGAGACGTACCATTTTCAATAAATGTTTTCAGGTAGCCAGACACTCGACCTACGTCCTCCACATCGGACTCATCATCTTCTTTAACGGTGTAGCTCTCAAAGATGACAGTTATGGATAAAGGCCATACGATGCAGTCCAAGATCATCTGAAATCACATGAAACTCCCCATTTATACGAAGGAGAAGGAATTTTGCTGAGTTTAGATGTGTGCTTGTTCGGGTACCTGAGCTGTGACTTGTGTTTCTGACTCCCTCGGGAACAAGATTGGGATTACATCTCTCCTGGACATGAGAAGTGGCCACAGTCCTGTCTCTTGTAAGCCTTTTCGGAGCTGATTGACTTGACGCCTCGTTTGCTCGATAACCTGCAATGCAACAGACACTTAATTCACCTGTAATCCTCTGACTGTTGCCATAAACAGGACATGAATGAAATAACTGGTGAAAGTTTCAGTACAGCCAGATGTGTAGAGCGTATTCTCTGATGTCACCACAACTGCAGATGTTACAAGCAACTTTTAAATGTCGTGACACTTTATAATGCCAAAATGAGCTCTTAGTTATAATCCAGGGACACAGCTGGATGTTGTAGAGATGTATATGTTGGTTGTTTGGATTTATCTTGTTGGATTCTTTTGCTGATGATGGTGCAGAGTGACGTCCAATGGTTGTGGGCTTAAATATTTTTTTTAAATCATTCAATTTTAATGTAAAGACAGGCTTGAAATACATGCTTATTGATACAGCTTAGATTTTGCCCATATTGACAAGGAAGCAGACTTTTATGTCGCTTTTCCTTCTTTACCTTTTTAACTGCATCAGTAGTTATTATACAGTCGTCCTCAAATGTATTCAGACCCTTCTATTAAAGAAAATGCAAAATTCACAATAGTCACTCAAATAAGATGAAACTGAAAAAAGTAATAATAAATAAAAATTTGCTAAATTCTAATTTAGTGAAATAGGACATTGCTTTTGAATTGTGCTTTCAAAATAATATTTTAAAAAAACAAACAAAACTGTCCCGGACAAATAGGAGCACTTTGCTGATGAGCAGTGGACCAAAATACCTGTCAACAGGTGCAGAAGTCTGATTGGGAGTTACAGAAAACACTTGATTGCAGTAATTTACTCAAAGGGTTGTTCAGCAAAAAATTAGTTTACGGGTCCCATCATGCTTGTTTGTTTGTTTTTGTTTGTTTTTTATAAAAATATTTCTGTTGAACCACAATTCAAAAGCAACGTCATGATTTTCATTACATTTGTATTTATTACTTTTGTCAATTTCAACTTATTTCAGTCACAGCTGTTTTTTTTTCTTTCTTTAATGGGAGGGTATGAATACATTTGAGGACAACTGTATATATCTGAGCAGCAAAATCTAAATTCCAAATGACCAACGCCTTTATCAACAGTGTTTGAACAGCCTTAAGTAAATTATATTAAGAATAATAATGCAGGGATGCTTTTTTGAAGACATGGTAAAAATATATGTGGCGCATAAACAAGCAGGTTCTTTTTTTTGACTGCAGTATGCAGAAAGTAACATAGAATAGACAGAAGTACTTTGTTATTACAGCATGCAAGAGGAGCTTTTCAGACAGCCATTTCCTGTTGGTGACATTTGGTGCTGGCAGATTCCACGTCAGGCAGAGCTGATGGATGGAGTCAGATTCTTTTAATTCGCCCTCTCCATCAAGCTGCAGTAAAGCATAATGGAAAACACATTTTATTCATGCAGCATGCACAGAATAAATTAGATTGATTGCAGTTTTATGAGTCCAGGGCATCAAGTAACAGATGGAGCTGTTGGAGGCTGAAATAAACGTCTTGTTTTGTGCGCTGACCTCAGTTAAAATCGCCACTCACCATTTTCACCGCGTCCCGGACGTCGAGGTCCGGACAGTCCTGCACCGTCACAGGAGTCGTCTCCTCAGAACCTCCAAATAGGATGTGAATAATAGCCGGGCTGAGTCCAGGGAAACTCGGGCCGCGATGTAAGAAGGAATGACCGATCATTCGTCCAGCTACAGCGAACATGTTGCTGTTGAGTAGTTCTTCCGAAACTGAGGGGATTTGGTGATCAGGTTCACCTTCAAAGATTTTGGTGATCGCAACACTTCCTGAAACAGTAATAGACTGAAGGTTAGGAGGAAATTAAGGGCACAAGCTTGACTAAAAATGAATAAATCAGTCTATGAAAAAACTGCTGTAGAGCAAAGTCAACTGTATTAAATGTCGAATTGTAGATTTCATTTTTTTTAAACAAAGTTTTAATTAGACCCAAAGCTCACCTTAAATAATATTTGTTCTTTGCATGATTTGTGTTTTTCTAAGATTAGATTATTCACATTATTAGAGCTGCTACATATATGTTTCTTATAAATGAGTGAATAACTAAATAAGTGGTGCTAAATACTTAACACAACTTGCTTTAGTTGTCGTACTTGTAATTTAGAAAACTGTTTTTGACAGCAAATGGCAGACGTACTCACTACAATGATGTGAAACATAAAAACTATACAGTTACATGTCTAAAATATCACTCTTTACCACTTTAGACTGTGTCCTCTTTTTTTTTTTTTTTCCTCGTGTGCCATGAAGACAAGCTGAGTCAAATGTTTCTACAAAAAAATACTCAAAAGGGCACAAATTCAAGCTGCAAGCTATCCTAAAGGTCAATGAGGACGTTTAAACACTTTCTAACTTCACAAATACTACCTAGCGCTTAAA